CCGGTTTCAGACGGTCGATACTGACGGTGTCTTCGCGGCCCTTCTTGTCTAAGACGAAGAATTTGTCCGTACGTTTAATTACTTTATACGGTCCGTCATACGGGGGTTCTAGAGGGCGACGCACAGAGTCGCGACGAACAAATACGTGTGAAGAAGTTTTAAACAAGGGTGGACGAAAACATCAATGGACTGTGGTCTCAGGGGAGCAGGTTTAACTGAACACATTGCGTTTGTAAGCCTACTGACGTACGCGGAGTGATCTACCGCTGGTGGGAAGCTCGAGGGAAAAACAAACTGGCAGTCGTAGTGTCGTGCCATATACTAACTCAGCGGTGGTACAACCAGCATCGGTTTTTAAGGCGTTTCGTATCCCTAGTAGAACTAACGGAAGGGATTCAGTCCAATGGGTGTTATTTGCAGCTGATAAACCAGCTTTCAACTGTCTGTGTAGACGTTCTATCATACCATTAGCTTGAGGATGGTAGGCCGTTGTTCGAAAACGCATGCAACCAAGGATTTTAGTTAGATCGAAGAATAAACCGCTTTCGAATTGCCGCCCACGATCAGTTGTTATGGAAGATGGGCATCCAAAGTTTGTGATTCATCTGCCTACGGAGACGCGTGCGACGGTTTCAGCAGATATATCCTTGATGGGTACTGCTTCAGGCCATCGTGTGAAGCGATCGATGCAGGTTAACATAAAGGTATATCCATGAGATTCTGGAAGGGGGCCAACTAAATCTATATGGACGTGTTGGACGGGCATCGTGGATAAGAAAGATGCCAAGTGGGCTTTTGGTGTGTCTTATTACCTTGCACTTTTGGCAAGCTAAGCACGTCTGTGCCCATTCTCTTACCTCCTTATTAATACCAGGCCAACAAAACCGATTAGTTACGAGCTTGACGGTAGTTCGAATACCTGGGTGGGATAAGCCATGCAACGTATTGAAGACGTTACGGCGATAACTTTTAGGCACGATAGGGCGAGGAGTACTGGTGGAAATGTTACAGACAATAGTATCTTTTCCTATACCTAAGGGTTTCTCGGCTAATTGTATAGTTGTTTTCGACAACTCATGCTGAAGCTCGGTATCTTCTTTTTGAAGACGAACCAGTTTTGCAAGGTCTATGCCGTCGATTTGGGCGAAGGAACAAATACGTGACAAGGCATCTGCCACAGTGTTGTTCACTCCAGATACATGGCGAATATCCAATGTAAACTGTGAAACGTAATCCAGTTGTCGTGATTCCCTGGGTGAATACTTATCTGAAGTTGAGTTCAGAGAGTACGTCAGAGGTTTGTGGTCAGTGAAAATGATGAATTCACGACCCTCAACTGAATGTCGAAAATGGTGTATAGCACAGTACATAGCTAGAAGTTCTCTGCCGAATGTGCTGTACTTCGTTTCAGCTAATTGAAGGCGCCTCGAGAAAAAGGCGAGTGGTTGTCACTCTTTGTTAACTAGTTGTTGCAGAACTGCGCCGATTGCAGTGTCTGATGCATCAACTGAGATACTTAACTGTGCCGTTGGATCCTGATACATGAGAAGTGTGGCATCCGCAATAGCTTTCTTTACCTGAGTAAAAGCATGTCGAGAAGACGCGTCGAGTTCGACAGACTTGTTATTCCCTCGAGGGAGGTCTGTTAATGGCTGAATCAGAGAAGCACAGTTAGGTATAAATCGTCGGTAATAACTTACCAAGCCGTTAAAAATGCAAGGACTTTTCACTGTCTTTGGCTCCGGAAAGTTCAGTATCGCTTCGACTTTACTAGCCAGTGGGCGAATGCCCTGACAGTCAGTAGTGTGAACCAGAAAATCGAGTGAGTCAACGCCTATCTGACACTTTTGGATATTGATGGTAACACCATGTTGGCGTAACCTTTCAAATGCCAAGTCCAAGTGTCTAAGGTGAGTTTCCTTATCTAGACTGGCAATGAGGCAGTCGTCTGAGTATGCGTATACAAAGTCGAGACCGCGAAATGCTTCATCGATGAAGCGTTGGAATGTTTGGGCCGCATTCCGGAGGCCGAATGGCATATGTAGGAATTCAAAAAGTCCGAAAGGCGTGATGATAGCCGTTTTCGGAATATATTCCGTTGCCATGGGGATTTGGTTATATGCTTTAACCAAGTCGATTTTGGAGAATATGGATGCTCCAGATAACGTTGCCGTCAAGTCGTGTATGTGAGGCGAAGGGTAGCAATCAGGGGTTGTTTTGGCGTTCACTCGCCGGTAATCACCAGTGGGTCGCCAATCGTTGCTATCCTTTTTCGGTACCATATGCAACGGGGATGCCCATGGACTATTCGATGGCCGAATGATGCCAAGGGTTAGCATATGATCGAATTCGTTTCTGGCAATTCTCAGTTTGTCAGGGGCCAGTCGTCGTGCTTTAGATGTCACGGGTTGTCCTGAGGTTATGATGTGGTGCATAACATTGCTGGTTATGCACGGGAGATCGTTAGATGGGCAATTGAGTTCCGGATATTTGTCAACAATCGGTTGAAAAGTTGGATCGAGGATTGCTTTCATCTTAACGATTGACAAGCTGGGGCCTACGTAAGTTATGCCTTTGATAGACAAACTAGTAGTGTTGTCAATTAGTCGTTTACGGCGGACGTCTACGAGCAAATCATGATGATTAAGTAGGTCCGTGCCAATGATGGGCATTGTGACGTCAGCGATTAGGAAAATCCACTGAATAGGTTTGCGTAAACCTACGTTCAGATAGACGTATTTTCGACCAAAGGTTGCAACTGCTTTTACATTTGCAGCCTGCAGGTTGAAGTTAGGATCCTTCTGTCGATCTGCTGCTGTAGCAGGAAGGACTCTGACCTCGGCGCCTGTGTCGACTAGATATCTAGTCTGGCTCATTACATCATGGATGTGAAGTAAGCGGCTAGTGCCACCGGCGATGGTTGCCGCTAACGCGTGCCGGCGGGATAGTTTCTCACAGACTTGGAGGCTTTGCCGAAATCACAAGGTTTTCGACAACATTTCGCTTCCTGGCTATAAGTGTTGTGATATCAACACCAGTTAGGATTTTTGAGAGAACGTGTGTTGGACTTAGATCGTCCACGTACGTTTTGCCGTTGAGGGGATTTAGGACGACGGCAGGAGGGATTGCTAGGCTTGTTTGACCTAAACATCTGCTGGATGGAGTTGCATAACTCTATCACTGCAGAATCCTTTCTCGAAGTCTGTTCGGTAACTGAGTATACTTCGGTAACTGGTCGTTTAGTTATCTCTAGAATTCTATCTGCAGAGGGAGCTAGGTCATCCATGAGAACACCCTGAAGTGTCACAAGTACAGTCTGAACTGACTGTGGCAGCTTGGATAAAAATAGTTCTCTAAACAGTCCTTCGTCGAACTGACTTTGGCCAATAATCTCTTTCATTCTTGCCAGCATGCTCACGGCTGACTGATCCCCTAACTCGATGTTAGGAAATAATTCATCCAGACGTTGTCGATCTGTGAGAATGTTTCTCCTGAGGAGGGATGCTTTGAGCAACTCGTACGACTTACTTACCTCTGGACCCGACATCTGCAGCGTTACGCACCTGCTGAATTCCCGCGGTAGGGCGTGAATAACTGCACGCAACTGTGAATGTTGATCGGTTATGCCATGCTCACAAAAATCAGACTCAGCAATCTGAAACCACGTTTCAGCATTATCTGGCCAATATAGTACGAGCTGAATTGTTTTGGTGGTTGAGCGAATCCGAATAACCTTGGGGCTAGGGTCGCTCATGACGAAATATATGCCGATTACAAAAGAGTACAAGAACAAACAGAAAAAGGAACGAACTCACCGGGTTTATCTGCGTGTGAATTGAAGATGAAGTTCGAGGTTGGGCTCACCAGTTTAGAGGTTGCAGGTATCGACTTTCGCGAGTTGTACTGATTATACTAACGCAAGATCTTATACCAACAACTTCTATAGTGTTCGCACTTCGTGTACCAAAGATAAAGCAAGAGACCAGATTTTGTCGTCCAAAGTACGTAATATATCTCGGGACCAAATCGCGGGTTGAAGTGAATGCTTATCTAGCTAGTAATCGTGCAAGCACGTGACACGACGGAGTACCAAATGGCGGGGATGCTTGACCGGAAGCTTTCAGCTAAACAAGTCGACTTAAACAGTGAGGGTCAGCATCCAATGTTGAGTGATGATTGCTATGGTCAATAATTTTGGGGAATTATTTACCGCTACAATACTGTTTCACTGTGTGATATATCTAATAAGCAAACTGATATGGAATTACTTACTACCACAGTGCCCTAGTTTTACACATTTATTAATGGAAGTAAGAATATTGCAGATTTATTCAGACATCTAGACAAGAGAATTCTGACGTTCCTAGAAGTTTTTTGGATCTCAAATAAGAAAATACAGATAAATTCACAGAGAGTCCACTTATACTCGCCTCCCAAATTACTGTAAGTAGGTAAATGCAAATCACCTCAGTCACAAATACCAACATGGTATGATACAAACCTTATTTCACGGTGTCTTATGGTAATGCGACACGATGGTGTGATTTGTATGTCTCAGACTACCATGAAAATTAGGCAGGAATAACATCCACATGAAGGTCAAGAAGTTTTGAAAGCCGACAATGATAATAGATACTCATCAGCAGTAAACAAAAGAGATTTCAGTTAATTTAATAAAATTAAGCAGATGGACAAAGTTCATATCGCACACAAACACTCCATGGAAGCTAACTGGGAGAATATAGAAGTGGTAACCGAAAGATGTACTAAGCCTTCAAATACAGATACCATGGTACATAAACAAGTGAGTTGCTGAAGTGTCGTAACTGTCGTACAATGTTCACTCATGTAAGTCGACTGAGTGCATACCAGTTGGCTCAAGAAAGACAAAAATAAACTCCATTATATTAAGTGATACAACACAAAGTCTTCCTAACACAAAAGTTATCTGGAGGATTTCATATATTTTGGTATTTAGTTTTAATTAACGTTAATTAGTAGCGTCCATTTAACCTCGTATGGGTAATGGATTATGAAGGTGTGTCGTTTTGTCTCTTTTATACTGTTTTTACAAACCACTTTGAGTTATTCTAGCATTAAATTCTTCCGTATATTTATTTTATTCAGAACTTACTGCTGAGGAGAAAGAGAGGTTACGGTTTATCGGACAGCAGAAAGCTCAATTGATGAAAAATATTGAGGTAGTGAGGTTTTTAAATTATTTTCTGGTAGTCACTCAAACTTGAGCTGAATGATATAACGAATCAAATCGAAAGTTTCGGTTTCACGATTGATGGGTATGTTTGTATAATTTACTTACTGTTTGGTAGAGAAGACCCATCTTTATGGCGGCTTGCACTTGGATGTAAAAAATTTAATAGCAATCCGAAGCAGGTTTGTTTTCTTATCTATTGATATTTGATGGTTATTGCTCAGGGTCTCGAATACCTTTTCGATCAAAATATAATAGAGCGATCTCCTGAAGATGTGGCTAAGTTCTTCATTGATCAAAATGATAGTATATCTAAATATGCTGTTGGGACTTATATCGGAGAAGTGTAAGTACTACCATAATGGTTGTCTGAAAGTTTTTCTACTTATTTCCCTCTGCATAAATTTTACGTCTTAGTCCAACATGTATTTTTTGGAGTATACACTGTCAACCTAGAAATCATGTAATGTGTATTCACTTTAAAAGACATACTGCATTGATCAACCCGTGTTCTTTTATACAGTTCCGTATTACATGCATCGCTTTTTTCAATTAATGTATCTGAAGTCAGCTAGCATAATGATATAGCTTCCAACATAATGTTGTGGTGTACTGTGGATGATTTTAATTTCACTTTATCACTACTTAAAGGGAAAGTAAATAGTGTTACAATTTACTATTTGCGTGACCGTTTCGGCGTTTCATGTAATGAACAAGGTGGGCATCATATTTTCAACGATTTGGTGACCTTCCGTCACCACAGTTAAGTCAGAAAAAAAATTTGTTTTTATCAGTTTCGCCAACTAGGAAGAATAAAAGTTGTACTGTCAAGTATTTCACTGTCATTGAATACTGGTGGAATTATTCCTCATAAATCGAACGTATCTTCATGAAATTATTATGCTAGGGGACTTATATGTACTCCAAAGAGGTTTCCTAGGCTTACTTTATTGTCCACGTGGATTATCATTATTTTGTGATTTTTAATATTACCTCCATTTTTGCTGAGTAAGATGTGCATTGTCTCTGCCAATAATTCAGTAGACTGAAGCGTCAACCTTGAGTGTCATGTCCAGCGGAAAGGCGAATACATTAATTATTTAGGAATTCCCTCTTTGTAAAATGTTAAATTTACTGAGTGACTTCTATGTCTTAATGTTCTAGCATTGTCAAGGTGTTATCGTTTACAAAATGATTGCTAGTTGTTTTCTTTCTCACTGAAAGGGAGTGACTGTATTCTGCATGTATTAACTTTGCAGGCGAATCTACATTCCATTATCCAGACAACAGACAAATATACTTCTGTAGGAAAATGCCTAGAGATCCAAGTTTACTGGTAGTTCGCCACAAAAGTAGAATCTGGTTTCTTTTTTTTTTTTTGAGAGGTATTTGTGAATAGTAACTGCTCATATTGATATAATGTGTGATGTACAGTATATGATGTATCTTATGGAATTTACCAATCACTGAAGGAGTTATATTCAGGCTCGACTTCTAAGTCTCTCTCTGTGCAAACCTTTTTATAACTTCAAGTATCTTTTTTAAAGTCACATACTTCATTCAATTCAGATTATAGGGATCGAAGGTTCTTGTTGCCTATGTTAATCCTCGAGATATATGTCTCTGCAGAGATCCAGTTTCTCTTTGAAAGCGTTCACCGATGGAGCTATTACTACTGAATCAGGTAAGGAGTTCCAGTCGTTGACCACTCTGTGAGAGAATCTAAATTTCACACGTATTTTATTCGACCTCGGTTTGAGCACCTTCTTGTGGTGACCTCGTAAATGTATCCTAGAGAGAGAAAAGGTTTGAAAGGTCAACCCCTAAATCACCCATTAATATACGGCAAGCCAAAATTAAGTCGGCTCTCCTCCTTCGGTATTTTAATGGGAAGAGATTTAAATGCTCCATCCTCATGTCATAAGTAAGGTGTGAGATATCACTAACTAATTTGGTTCATACCCTCTGTACTCTTTCTAGGATATGTGCCTCCATTTTGAAGCATGGACTCACCGCTTGTATGCAGTATTCTAGATGAGGTCTGACATATGTTGCATAGAGTACTTGGAACATACCCTCGTCTAGTCGTTTGAAAGCCCTTCGAAGTGCCCATAACATTCGAAAAGCCTTAGCTGCGGTTCGACTACAATTTGCCGTTGTCATGGTTTACAATAATTCCTAAGTCCTTTTGTCCCCTAACATCTGGCAGTTCTGTGTCCCCGAGGGATTACGACGTGTAAGACTTCTGACCTAGGTGCATAACAGCGCTTTTCTTTTGAAATTAATTTCCAGACTCCAAAGGTTAGCCCATCCAGCTAATCTATCTAGAACGTTTTGTAGTACCAATCTATCATCGTTACAATTACTAAGTAGATATTTTCTACAACTAACTGTATCATTTTCTGAAACAGAAATGACTCGTCAATTTGTGTGAAATGTTTAGTTTTTCACTGTTTGAGTGGAATTTTATATCTTCCTTTTTTCAGTCGAAAAGAATTTAACATGCAAGTCTTGGATGCATTTACAAAGTTGCACAACTTTAAAGATCAGGAGTTTCTACCAGCTCTAAGGTGAGTTCGTTTTAAATGTGTTGTACATGGGCTGTAGTTAAGCTTCGGTTTATATCTTAGAAATTCCTGACTTGCTATTAGTTAGACGCATAATTTATAGTTTTTTTTTGTTATTCTTTAAGTGCTGTTAGTGTCATTGTAGAGTTTAAAAAGTAAAGTACTATTCATGCTGGCATTTATTTTATTCCTTTACGTTCCCAGTGGTATATAGGGCTTCAAGCTAGAGCTTTGAAGTTTCGGTAGCAGTGGTGTTTAATTTTTGTACTGGGTAAGGTTGCTAGCCTCATGCCCAACCTTTTCCTCTTTACCATTTTCATAACTGGCTTAGTGAGGTAAAGGAGTGTGTTGGTGGCCGGGGACCGAACCGCGAACCACCGGCGTGGTTGGCAAGCATTCCACCACTGTACCACTAGTCCCAGTTGCTGGTATGTATATGTGTTTTTACACGCAGGTGATGGGTGTTCAGTTCCAAGTGTATTCCATGGAGAACTTTTCAGGGTTCCGTTAAATTGGGATTTGTTCGCCACTTTATTTAAAATAAGTAAATATCAATTTCAAGAGTTACCTTTAGATAAAGATTTTTTTCTTCACATAACAATTTAGTCAGCCTGTTTGGCGTAATATTTTGAGGGATTTTTTGTTTCTGTACTTATCATTATGTTGTCAATTGTTCATTATGAAGAACTGCATATGTTTTCAGTTACACCCAGAATAAATACTTGTGGCTCATTGGTTGAAGAGCTCAACTTAAAGCCAAAGGGTCATGCATCTCAGTCTCGCTTTGCCTACCTCAACCTAGGCAACTGCGTAATATCATCAGTCCTCATATAATGCGTTATACTGACAACTTGACAACTGAGTTTAGTTTGTAGACTAGACCAACTTGGATTCTGTTGATTCATGTTCAGTTGTATTGCCTTTTTGTTTGAACTAAGTTCATTTAGTTTCAATCGTTCAAGTATTGCACATAAATTCAACTCACATCATGAAAATAAAAAAGAAACCTGAGGTGTGTTGGCCTAATATCAAAAGTCAGGTTTTGATTCAGTTTCTCCCTTTAAGTCATTGTCACAATTTAATTTCTAGTAAGGTGAAGACATTTTAGCATTAAAACATTCGCTGTTGCTGCTATAACCTCATTGAAAGTGGTGTGCAGTTATTCATATCGATCACCAGTATGTATGGTGTCAGACACACGCACACACACACACTTCTCATACCATTTACTATTTCAAGCAGGTCACATTATTGTGAAATGGACATATTGTTTTTCCAAAGGAACCCATTATGAAATATCACCTGAAACTGCGTAATTTCCAGATGGTCACTTTTAATTCTATGGGACTTCACTTAGTGAATAAGTTTCAATCCACTCCATAGTATTTCGGCGATCACTATCACTGTCTGTCTGTCTGTTTTCGACATAGAACTTTGCACCAATGTGCAGCAGTTCAAGTCACCACGCTCCATGTAGCACATAGAGCAAGAGAAGAAAGTAGAAGAAATGCAAAACAGAGACAGTAAACAGAGATATGAGGCAAAAAGAATAGTAATATCGAAGAACAATATAGTTTTATTGGGTATTATGAGTCACAAGGAGTGGATGCATCTGTGCCATAGAGAGCGATCTTGAGCCATATCAACAATTGTCTCCAGCTGTCATTAGTGTTTACCATCCCGAGGACACCAATCGGTCAGAAAGTCCACACGTTCCTGCGTGGTCGGCTTAAACTAACTGTTGTGGATTTCATTGACTGATGAAGCCATGTTTTGGTTTGACCACCAATGGCTCTTTTCCAACCTAACCCTATGTCAGCTAACATTGCCTATTGTCGAGGAAGGCAATGAATAGGCATACGTAACACATGTCCTAACAACCTCTTTCAGTCGATGTAACTTCACAGCCTCGTCGGTTGATTTCTCCTCCTTACGTAGCATTCTCTATCGACGCCTAACCTCAATATTGCTCACCTTATTATACCGCTTCACATGGGAGATAGAACACAGGCACCTATGATCAAAGACAACTAGTCTTTTCACTCTCAATGGCCATGTCTCACTTACAGCCATAAAGGAGGACGGATTTCTATCACTAAACATATCAAGGTTTGTAAATTTTCCCGTTTAGCGTTTTCCAATAGGCAACAACGCTTCGCTACACACACTGAAGTGTTATGCTTAAAGCATGAAAAGTGACGCTGTTCGACACTACCTTCTATTTGTGTATCATGTCTGCCTAAACAGTCAATAGGTCATGGTTTTGGAACTAATTCTGTTCGGTTTTAGACAGTCATTGCATTGCAATAGGTATGATTCACTACTGGAATACATTATCACTATGTAAGCGTCTGTTCAGGAGTACACGTTGTACTCAGTTATACTCAATCAGAACATCTTGTAATGCCTTCAAGAGAGTAAAGTTTAAAGATTTCGAATGTAACAAATTGAACGCCAAAAATATTCTTCTAGATATGCCCTTAACATGCGACTTTACTGTCCCCTTGAAACTCTATTGTAATATTTAGATAGAGGACCTCAAGTTTTCAGTATACACGACAATATAATATGATAAAGACAAATAGACATGGTACAAAGGTCAGTTTTCTCCATGCGCATAGCAATCTGGTCTCAAATGAGTCCATTAATACCCATGTATTGCATTATTATTAAAACACAAACTTAGTGCATCATTGTGGGCACAAACAGATGCGCTACACAAAATCTCATAGTTTCTTTGCGAACTGGGATACTGCCCCAACCGAAGCAGGTGGCTGTTCTAAGTGGCCACTCCCCCAGGAGCCTTTTACATGAAGTTTTGTCTATGAGCCAGGGGAGCTGCACTCCGTCAGTTTCCGGTGACAAAACAGGTTCATATACTACTCAATCCTTTCGGATTCTTGAGCCTGTTGACACCATAGGCTTGCAATCAGGGTCTTCCAGCTCCCTTAGGTAAACCTGGATGTCTACCTCACCAGACATTTCTCACTAACCTTTTCACTTTTGTTAGAAGCACCCCAGCGTCATATTAAGGCAGTTGATAGGACTTACCTGACCCTGGTGGTGGCGTCCATGTGGCAAAATATCATACGATCGATACCAAAGTTGGCTATAAAATAAAATTGAAGAGTTTTCAAGGAACTATACCTCTGAAAATCAAACTTACACTTTAGTAGGATTGTTTGTAAAATTTCCTGTATTAATTGAATTCCTTCTGTATTTCTTTTATTTGACTAATCAAAAAGCTTAGTTAACTCTTTTACCTGCCTCAAATGAACTTTTGTCAGTTAATGCAGTGTACACAAAGTGTATATTTGTCAAATTGATCCGTTTATGCTCAATATAACATTGATTACCGATTTATTTAAGTTCATTGTTCCATACAAATAAGTGGTTGTACACCTATTTCTGTCATTAGAAATCTAATTATACGACACATTAGGGGCGACTCTCTGTTTTGTTAAAAGATTATACATTTATTAAACTATCTGGTTACATAAAGCTATGGAACAACATAAATAATAGTACTTGGTAAAATAAACTGGTTGTGATTGTTAATTTGTAAACCGAATTTAATATTATTCCTTTGGGTTCACCCTCACACCCACTTCCTACTCGTCGTTTCACAATTGGCTTCCACTTGAGGGTTTACCTGGCGTTTGACATCACTCAACGACCTCCTCAGCGTATTTTCAATGCATCACCATTTCCAATAGTATATTTCTTGGGGTGATGGCTCTTCGGATCTTTTGTTACCTGTTATAGAGTTGCTTGTTGGTTATTCTTTTTTTCCATCGGCCATCTGATCTTCTTGAGTATCAAAGGAGGTGGTGGGCAGGTGTTGATGGAAGTCTGCAGCAGTCTGTTAGTAAAGCTTTTCGTGACGACCACGACGCCAAGTCTCTACACCATGTAGAAGTACCATATTTCGTCTCTAAAGTGATATACAGCTGTCGACCAAAAGACGTCTATATTGCTTGGCAGTGCTCTCCTTCCTCCTCTGTGGCTATGAGACATGGCCACTGAAAGTGCAAGACATGAAAAGATTAGCTTTCTTAGATTATAGGTGTCTTTGTTCTATCTCTCGGGTTAAGTGGTATAACAGGGTGAATAATACTGAGGTGAGGCATCAGTTGAGTGCTAGGTAAAGAGGGAAAGTCGACGAGGTTGTGCAGTTACATTGATTTAGGTGGTTAGGACATGTGTTACGCATACCACCGAGCCACTGCCTTCCCCGACGGTCAATGTTAGCTGTGACTGAAATGAGGTTGGGAAAGAGCCAGTGGTAGTCGAACGGAAACATGGCTTCACCAGTCAATGAAATCCACAACAGTTAGTTTAAGCCGGCCAGCCACATAGAGAGGTGTAGACTTCGTGACTAGTTGATGAGAACCAATGGGGGCTGGAGACAATCGGTGATATGACTCAGAATCGTCGTTGTCAATGGCTGGCGTACATGCATTCACTACTCTTTGTGATTTGTCAAATCCAATAAAACTCTGGGGTTTTCCCATATTACTCTCCTGTTTCATATCCGTCTTTTGCATCCCTATTTACTCTGTCCTCTTGCTTTGTATGCTACATGGATGGGAGAGTGGCGACTGGAACTGCTGCACACCCGTGCTGAGTTCTATGTTGAAGCCAGCCGTCAGTCATACGAAACACCAACTAACTGGACATTCGTTTTGAAGATCCGAACTTTGTCAATCATGTCTGAGTGCAATAGATATCCACATTGATTCTCTATGTAAAACGAATTATGTAATACCAAATGAAATTGAAACAAAATTTATTAGTAAACATTTCGCATCAACGTATGATTAACTAAGCTGTACAAAATTCGTCAACTAAATATTATTTTCGTCTGAGGAAATCGTGACGTAAGCAAAATACGTAATTGGCGAAGAAAATTTTCCTTTTCGACTATTCATTTTCATAAACTGGATAATCGTATTCATATATTTAACAAAGAATTTTATAAGACCAATCAAATATTGGTAAAATTCATCCAGAGGGTAAGGTGTAATCTAAAAGGGGATGACTAATTGAAAGTTAGAAAAGCGGGCGAAAGTCGGGATGACGTAACAAGTGTGAGAAAATGACTAATCAGTATAATTGTGTAGAGTGGACAAAAACTAGTGGAAAAACGATAAAGTGTTTTTGTAAAATCTGTTTGAAAATGCAATGTTATTAATAAACAATAATACAGTAATAATAAAGTAGGAATAATGATAACAATAATAATGATAAGCTTACAAAATATAACGTAGCAAAATTATGCCGGGGGAAGTTACTCTGGCGATGGTAGGGCGAATACATGCCTGTAGTATCTTTGAACTCAGAGATCCGCTTTCAGATCTCAAATAGCCAATAATTCAGCTATGTATAGATGGCGTATTCGAAATCTTTTCATGCGATATTGAGGAACTCTGTGTAGAACTGTAAAGCATTCATGCTGGGGTGCTCGATGTCCAGATTTGCCAAGATGTTCGAAGATAGAGTTGCTGCTATTCTTCTCTGCTCTGGCTAGTTAGGCTGGACATTGTTGCAGAATACGTTCGCGAAGTTGACGTAGCGTACGGCCGGTATACTTTGCTCCACACGAAGAACAAGTAAACTGATAAATACACACTGAGGTGACAGTATCTTATCCTTAACGTTATACCGGATTAACTGCTAGAGAATGTGATGCTTGGTAAAGTGGCTACTTGAAATGTCTTCTTCAAACATTTAGAAAGGCTTCAATTGGTGGATGGTGACTAGCAGTGAAATCAGCTATACTGGCTGGAACTTATGTTCCTTGAGGTCCTACCATGCCAGAAAGGTTGTTTGGATAGCGGTTAGACTAAAAGCAGTTACCCAATCCAATCCTATGACTTCAAATAAATCACAAAATATCACGCGGATCGGTCGGGGCCCGGATTAACAACGACCGCGCTTTCTGCTGCCGTGTCACAGGGCAGAAGTGATAAATACGCTACTGAGACACACCAAATGAAAAACAACAAACAAAAAGCAGCAGCAGTGAAATCCAGGATGAGCATTTCGTCTTATTTGGGAATCATCATCGGTTTCTAAGAATTTCCATTTTGATGTCACCTTTGAATTCTAGGTCCATGAAGAGAGTTTTCTCATAAACAGTTACGACTTTTGGCGGCTAAAGCTTTCCCCATCATGGCTTTATCGATAAATCTCTGTGGATACCCGTTCTCCTCCAGTAGGGTTTCATGTAATGGTTACGGGATTTCATCATGAGCTGACATTGGTTAGAGAACCATTGGAAAACCTTGGGGTACTGGACAGCTGTTTCGTCCTAGTTTGGGACTCTTCATCAGTACGCACCCACCGGGATTCGAACTCAGGACCTTCTGGTTACAAGGCGAGCTCGTATATCATTAAGCCACTGGGACCCGATCCAATGGCCCATAAATTCTAACTTCTGGCAATTCACGATATAGCGCAACCGCTAGCCAATGTCTTCGCTGGCGAGTATTTGTCCTCACACCCGACCTGCTGCACCCTACTGGTCACGACTTCATGTAATGAATTTAATTCATTCTCTATAGCGTCTTCCAAATAGACACTGATAATTAGTCCCTTTTTCATAAACCTAATCAAGGCATCAAGAAGAAGCAGAATGTTATTGCGAGACGATATCATTTCGTAGCTTCTCTCTACGATCGATCATTTTACAACTAGTATAGTTGACAATAATAAAAAAAGATAGAATGCTTGACAATTACTCAGTTACCAACATGAAATTAGAGTACATTTTGTTAATCAATCATATTTTTTATAGCATTTTCTAGGTCTATTATGTTTTTCTGTGCATACACATAGTTTTGGGAATGCATGTGACTAATCCCCCCAAAAGTACTTCCATCACCTTTAAAAGCTTTGAATTAAAGTTATGTGAAACAATAATGATAATTGTGAAACTGTCATTAATTATATTATTGATTTTGCGATGAGACATTAATCAATGCTTTGCAATGGATGATGATAGTGATGATGCTAGATTTCTATTCAAATTAAATACATTTGGGTTTTCTATATGACATAATTGTGCATCAGTGGCGTAGCGGTTGGGACTCTCGCCAACCACACACATGGTCCGGGGTTCGATCCCCGGCCGACGCACTCCTTTACCTCGCTAAGCCAGAAATAATGCTGGTGAAGAGGAAAGGTTGGGTATGAGGCTAGCAACCCCATTCTGTAAAATAAACACTGCTACAGAAACTTCAAGCCACTAGCTTGAAGCCCAATGTTCCACTGGGGAACGTGAAGGAATAAAAAGACATAATAACTATTTAGAAACATTGGAACATCCGGTTGGTTCTACCTGCATGTATATATGTATCCCCACAACTGCAGGTGGGCTTGTAGTTAAGTTGTGAAGTGGAGTCCACAGAATTCCCCTCCCCTTAACTGTAGACACAGGAATTGAAAATGTTCAAGATGTAAGGAGAAGACATGAGACGTAGAATTTTTGCGTGATAGCTGACTTAAGCCCTTGAATGGCAGTTTAATGAAGCTGGGGGGGGGTCCTTTGGTTGCAGAAGTTGTTGTCTTTTCATCAAAGGCCAGTGTAAGTCTCTCTTTACTGCTGTGACATACAACGAAGTTTTAAGGCTAACAGAACCGGGTGTAAACACCGTGCAGCTCATCCATTAGTGTATCGTATGTGCGAATTTTTACCGGCTCTTGAAAATGCTCATTTCACTAGAGAATGTTTGTATTGGATAGGAATAAAACTGCCATGAAATGAAGATATCGTCTACTCCTCCATGTGCGCTTGTGAAATATTGATTGCTTAATTAGCTGCTCCGTCGTGTCACCTAGTCACATTGCGATATCCAAGACACGCAGTTTGTTTGATTTGATTTGTTTCAAGTTTGGTCACGGATCGATTGATATCAATTAGAGAACCACCATTGAGGGCCACTGAGTAGTCGGGTCCCAGTAGCTGAATGAGCTTGCTTTGTAACTGAAAAGTCCTGGGTTGGAACCCTCGTGACGGGTGCATACTGTTGATGAGTCCCGAACTAGGGTGAGACGGCTTTCCAGTACTCCCTCATTGACTTTTCAGTGGTTCTCTTAATCAGTTATCAGTCTTGATTCATTATTGTTGATATTAGACGGTTGGAAGTTATGGTTTGACGCGTGATTTCATTCGGCAGTCTCCTCAGTGGCGTGTGCCCAATCCATCTCCATTTTCTTCTACGTATTTGTTGAACAATGGGTTCTTGGTTGGTTCTTTCCTAGAGGTTCTGGTTGCTAATTATTTTTCCCTGGCTATCCGATCTTCAGTATGGAGCCAGCGAAGGAGACAGTTGTTGATAAAACTTTACAGCCCATTGAAATTGTTTCTACATGCCGCACCCACCAATTTTATGACCCATAAAGGAGAACTGACTGACTTGACATTGGTGTTGAAAATCTGAATCTTGTTCTTTATGCTGGCTGAGTGGAGCAGGTTTCCACGCTGATTCCAGAGTGATGAAGGTCTGCCTTGTTTTTCCGATTGTGGCTCTGACATCTTCATCCGTTCCGCCTGTATTTGAAACGATGCTGTATAGAAAAGTGAAGGAAATAACCTCTTTTAAATCTCTCCTGTTGATAATGTTTGCGCTGATTGGTCTTGTTGGTACCTGAGTATCTTCATCACCGCGCTATTTTCTATGTTCACTTGAAGTCCTGTCTTTCCTGCTTCTTCTACCAACTGTTTTCGCGTGTAGATCTTGGAGATTGTGTGACATTAGACATAGACATCATCCGTCAAGTCCAGATCTTCTTAGAGTCTTCTTATCGGTGGTCCAGCGTATTCCTGTCTTCTTGCTTCCACAGACTGTCTGCTGCATAATCTAGTCCACCACAATTAGGAATATCGTCAGTAATAATAGGAAGCCTTGTCTTACTCCTATATTCACTTCAAAGTCCTCGCTGAGTTTTCTACTGTGAATTACCTGACACGCGCCAGTAAGTAAGTATTTATTTTTATCCTATTCCCCTTCTTGCGTCGGTGGTACAGCGGTAGAGTGCTCGCCGACCATGCAGGTGGTCCGAGGTTCGATCCTCAGCCGATGCACTCGTTTACCTTGCTAAGCCAGTAAGTAGTAAGACTGGTAAAGAGGTAAGGTTGGGCATGAGGCCGGCAACCCCATCCTGTAAAAAATAATCACCATTGCTACAAAAACTTCAAGCTTACAGATTGAAGCCCTATGTTTCACTGGGAACGTAAAGGAATAAAAAACAACATTCCTCTTCGTTCCCAATAGAACATAGGGCTTTAAAGTTCCAGTAGCAGTGGGGTTGCTGTTCTCGCACTAGCTCAACTTTCCCTCCTTACGACTGGGCTTACTAATAGGCTGAGCAAGCCACCGTACCAGTGGATGTGAATGGTCGGTCTACAAGCTTGACTTGTAACCAGAAAGTTCTGGGTTCGAACCCTGATGGTGAATCCAAAACTGGCATTTATATCCTACTCATAGTCACAATAATCTTTCCTTATATAGTCAGTGTTAACAACTTATGAAAATCACTGTCATTAGTTTATGCATGCAATTATTTTCTGTCTGCTTTTTTCCCCTCTCGTTTTTCTCTTAGACAATTCTTGCTTAGTTTTCAATTACCAGGTGAAAGTCAAAAAATCGATCGTATTTTGACAAGTTTTTCTGAACGTTATGTAGAACAGAATCCGACAGTTTTCAATTCACCGCGTAAGTTAGTTTTGCTGGGATTTCTTTTTTCTGAGTGTAGTTTTTTAAAAAGTCTATGCTATCAACAGTTCTCTATGTATGTAGGTCAACCAGTCTTATTCAACAGCTATTTGAGGGCGCCACATGTCAAGTGATTCTTTGAAATGCAGACAAGAGTAAGACAAGGGCTGGCTGTCTGTTTACTATCACTGATGATATTGCTGACTGTAGTGGATGACTGTCTGTCTGTCTTTTTTCGACATAGAACTTTTGCACATATGTGCGGCAGTTCAAGTCGCCACACTCCCTCCATGTAGCACACAAAGCAAGAGAAGAAAGTAGAAGAAATGCATAATATAGACAGTAAACAGAGGTGTTAGACAAAGGAATAGTAATAACGAAGAACAAAACAGTTTCATTGGAAATCATAAGTCACAAGGAGTGGATGCATCTACGCTGTCATTGAGAACGGTGATTTTGAGCCATGTCACCAATTGTTTCCAACCACTGGTTTTTACCGTCCCGAGGACCCCAACCAGGGAGTCTACACCTTCCTACGTGGCTGGCTTAGACTGACTGTTGTGGATTTCATTGACTGGTGCCATGTTTCCGTTTGACCGCCGCTGGCTCTTTTCCAGCCTGACCCTATATCAGCTAACATTGCCCATTGTTGGGGAAGGCGATGACTAGGCATACGTAACACGTGTCCTAACCATCTCAGTCGATGTCGCTTCACAGCCTCGTCGATTGATTCCCCCTCCTTACCTAGGAGTGGACGACTGGATCATACGTCACACCGTGGGGAGCGAAAAGACAGGCATATGTTGAGCTAACAAGAAGACTCTAGAAGACGTGAACTTCGCGAACAATTTATACATAGTATCATACAAACTCCCGAGGATCTAGGGGCGAAAACCAACAAGTTGGCAGAAGAGGAGACAGGCAGTAAAGACAGGACTTCAAGGGAACGCAGAAGGTGTGGAGGTGATGAAGTTTGTCTGGCTGCATTCAACATAGAACTTGGCACCGAAGTGCAGCAGTTCGAGTCGCCACGTTCCAAATAGCACACAAAGGTAGACAAGAAGATGATAGTGAAGAGAATCAATAGAGTTTTGACAAGTGTAAGAGTGAAACAGAATGAGTAATGGTAGAAAGGAATATGAAAGATTACAGAGACTGAATACATCTGCGTGAACCATTGACAACGATTTTGAGCCATGTCACCTATTGTCTCCAGCCATTGATTGATTCTTAGAGTCCCGAGGGCCCTATTTGGCAAAGTGTCTTAACATTAAATGCTCCTAAATGAAATTGGTGGCGTGGCTTTAGGAGACTATTGGTAGTGGTTTTTTGGCTTCCTTCGGTTTTAGTGGACACAGAGTGAAGATGAAGTGAAGAGCCATCAAGTAGAGGAGTTGTATCAGTAGAAGGAAGGCAAGATAATAGAGATGAAGATGAAGACAAAGATGAGTGAGGATTAGAGAGGTTTCGCGTACATTTCGGTTTGTGAGGGCGATTGTTACTTCCCGGCTGCCCACACCGTGGAAGTTGGTTGTGTGACCGCAGAGCCCAGGGGACAACTGCTTGAGGCCGGTCACACGCGGCCTGTTTTTGTTTGTTCTTTTTTATTTGGTGTGTCCCAATAGCATATTTATCACTTCTGCCTTGTGACACGGCAGCAGGAAGCGCGGTCGTTGCTAATCTGGGCCCCGACCGATCCGGCATGATATTTTGTGATTTACTTTGAGTCATGGCATTGGGTTGGGTAACTGCTTTTCGTCTAACCGCTATCCAAACAACCTTTTTGGTATGCTCGGACCTACAGGAACATAAGTTCTAGCCAGTATAGCTTGTTGGGTCATTGCGGTGTTCAAGCCCGACCACTACGTCAAGGTAGCAGCTTTCGTTCGGGAGGTGATGAAGACACTTAACCGAAAACAAGAACAAGCAACAATCACACTATCCATGGGATAAATGTGAAAGAAGTCATACCTTTCATCTATCTAGGTGGCAATGTTTGAACTACAGGCGGAGCGGATGAGGATGTGAAGGCTGAACACTTAAAAATAACTCTGATACCATTAATCTGTTGTCAGTCTTGGAATCTACTGCACTCACTGCAAAGAAAGAGCCTCGGGTTTGCAATACTAATGTCAATTCATCATTCAGTGCTTCTGTACGGTTCAGATACTTGACATGACCCATTCTCTGGCTCCATATCGAAGATCAGATGGCTGACCAGGAAGGAATAGCAGAAACATACTCTGAGAACGAACCAATCAATAACTGATTACCCAACAAATATGTTGAAGAGAATGGAGATGGATTGGACATACGCTAAGGAGACTGACTGTTCGGTGATGTCGCGCTTCAGGTTGTCAAGTGAAAATCGAATGCAAAACGATGAGTTGGGTTTAGGTTCGAGAGTGACATGTAGAAAATTGTGTGAAAAGGAGATGTGAGCATACGGCAATTCGTGGCGCTAGCTGAAAAAAGGATTTCAGAGAACCGAATGGAATGGAGGCATTCTGTTGAAATCTCAAGTTTCACTCGGAACCTAAAGAAATCATAGTAGTATATATATTTTTTTCCTTCACGTTCCCCAGTGGAACATAGGGCTTCAAGCTGGTGGCTTGAAGTTTCTGTAGCAGTGTTTAATTTTTACAGGATGGGGTTGCTAGCCTCATGCCCAACCTTTCCTCTTCACCAGCATTATTTCTGGCTTAGCGAGGTAAAGGAGTGCGTCGGTGGCCGGGGATCGAACCCCGGACCATTTGTATGGTCGGCGAGCGTCCTAACCGCTATGCCACCGACGCACTTGGCCTACAATAAAGCCAACAAATCCTCCATAAACATTAACAGTATAAATTCCTACCACAATTTTCTTTTCTTTTCTTCTTCTTCTATTCCTCTGTTTCATTGATAAACGTTCATTTTCGAATTTTATGATTTCATGACCTTTCCTATGATTTTATTACCTTAGGTTTAAGTAGTGCTATTCTAACTTGCTATCGTATTTACAAAATCCTGTTCATTCCATTTTATTATATTCACTATTATTATTTTTTCTTATTCCTTCACGTTCCGAGTGGAACATAGGGCTTCAAGCTAGAGGCCTGAAGTTTCTGTAGCAGTGTTTATTTTTAGAGGATGGGATTACTAGCCTCATGCTCAACCTTTCCTCTTTACCAGCGTATATAGTATACTATAGTATAGTATAAACAGTATTTTTGATTGAACACTAGTCAGTAACTAGTGTAATGTGTCTAGTCCTATCTTCGGTGCAGACTGAATTCTATCAGTCATGTTTGCAGCACTGGGTGATGCGGGTTCAAATCTCAGAAGGGACATCAGTTCCTTCAAGGTTGCAGGTACGCCTTGCTGATGAGTGCCAACTAGCACGAAACCTAGGTCCAAGGCTTCCTGCCGATTGCCTCCAACCATCTAATACCAACAATATATATAGTATATATATAGTATAGTATATTATATATTTAGCTTCATATCAAAATTATGCCAATCATCTGGTTAGTTAGAAAGCGTGAGAATAATTGTGGGATTCAAGATTCAGTGGATTTGCAGGGGTTTACAATCGTTTATTGCATAATCAACAATTTGTAAAATAATGTTGACTAAGAAGAATGGACGAGTGGATTACACAGAAATACCAATCGCATGTTCTATGTAACTAGCTCCACAAGAGCAGTTGAGCTGGTAAATGTATTTACGGTAGGGGACGAAATTGGACTGCTTGTCTTTATTCCGTGGACTGTGTATTGGTTAGCTTGTCGAATAAATAGCCATAACTTATCTGTGTTAAAAGTAATTTTGAAGACCTTTCTCAAAGGTTTTGATGCAGTCTCACTAATTTTCAATATTTTGGTTTGTAAGGATTAGATTTGTTTTTACGAGTTTGACCACGGATTGATATCAGTCATCGTACCATTGAAAACCAGTGAGGGACAGTTGTTTCATCCTAGTTTGGGAATCATCGGCAATACGCGCACCCACTGGGGTTCGAACCAGTGAGGTCTATCCAGTCAAGTGTGTGAAGATGGATGTCCCACCGATGACATTGGTTGGTGGTGGCGCTAAATGCATCGCGAGTTGGTGAAAGTTAGAATTCATAGGCTGGCTATTGAATCGGGTCCCAGTGGCTGAATGTTATACGAGCCAGTTTACCTTGTAACCGGAAGGCTCTGGGTTCGAACCCTGTGGTGTGGGTGCTTACTGATGGTGATTCCCAAACAAGGATGAAACAGCTGACTGTTCTGGTTTTCAATGGTTATCTAACTGATATCAATCCGTGATCAACTAGCAAAAGTAAATCTCACTAATTTTGAAAAGGAATATATATGTATTTCTTCCCTCAATTTGTTGTTTTTCCTGTCTTCAAATGAAGATTTTAAAGATATTGTTTTTGTAATATAACGCTTATTAAAAATATATTATTCCTAATTATTTGTAGACGAGGCGTATGTATTGTCCTATGCTGTTATCCTGTTGAACACAACACTGCATAATACCAATGCAAAAAGTCATAGTCTTGGTTTAGCCGAAGAAAAGACATTTGTACGTACAATGATGGAATTCGATGAAGAGACCAATTTATCTGAAGATCTTGTTCGTGTAAGCACCTCGCCTCTTTTTCTTTTTGCCCTTCTTCTTTTTGGTTGTTAGTCTAGGTTTTCGTTGTTTTTACTTGTAGTACACAGAATTACAATAGGGATCAAGAGGTGATATCGATTAGAGAACCATTGGAAAACCAGCTGGGAGTGCGTAACAGCTATTTCGTCCCAGCTTCGAACTCTTCAGTAGTACGGACCCACAAGGCGGGGTCCGAACCCACGACCTTCTGATTACAAGGTGAGCTCGTAGGTCTTGGGTTCGAATCTGACTGGCTGACTGGTTTCAACAGAGAACTTTGCACCAATGTGCAGCATTTCGAGTCGCCACACTTCGCTCGGCACACAAAGTCAGACAAGAAAGTAAAAAGAAACGCAAAATAGAGACAGTAAACACAGATATGACGCAAAAAGAATAGTAATATCGAAGAACAATATAGTTCCATTGGGTATTTTAAGTCACAAAGAGTGGATGCATCTGCATCAGCCATTGAGAACGGTGATTTTGAGCCGTATCACCAATTGTCTCCAGCTTTCATTGGTTTTTACCGTCCCAAGGACCCCAACCAGGAAGTGCACACCTTCCTATGTGGCTTAAACGAACTGTTGTGGATTTCATTGACTGATGAAGACCTGCTCTGGTTTGACCACCAGTGGCTATTTTCCAACCTGATCCATCGTATGTCAGCTAACATTGCCTGTTGTCGAGGAAGGCGATGACTAGGCATACGTAACACATGTCCTAACCATCTCATTTGGTGTAACTTCACAACCTCGTCTATTGGTTTCCCCTCCCGCTTACCTAGCACTCGACCAAGGCCTAACCTCAATATTGCTCACCCTATTATACCATTTCACATGGGAGATAGAACGCAGGCACCTATGATCAAAGACAGTCAGCTAGCCTTTTGATGTCTTCCACTTTTAATGGCCATGTCTCACAGCTATAAAGGACGACGAAGCGGGCTGCTGGGTTCGAACCCCGCGTACTTTGGGTGCGTACTGATTAAGAGTCCCGAACAAGGTCGAAAAACCTGTCCAGTACTCCTCTAGCACTGATTTTCCAATGCTTCTCTAACTAATGTCATCTCGTGATCAATCCTGTGACCTATGCAATCCCTGCACACATCAACGCTTGGTAATTACACAGAATTGTTGCCACGGAATTCTCGTTGTTGCCATTTCCTGGTTATTTCTGTTTATTTTGAAAAATTTAAAGTGTAGGCTCAACTTTAGAATCTGTTATCATATTACATATTTTTTGTACTTTAATTCTTCATAAGTGCGATTTTTGCTTTTGCTCTGAGTATTTATTGATTTCCCGCATAACTTATCACTTTCGATTTTTGTTTTATTATAAATTTTTTTTGCGTGTGATTACGAACATATAGATCAGCGAAGAGATCACCTTCTCTTCGTAACTTCATTTCAGAGCTGTATGGTTGTTAGTCATTCAGGTTAGGGTTTTTTTATATATGTATAATGTTATTTGGAAACAGAAAGGTCAGAGGTTATTTTCAGTTACCGAAAAATACCCAACTAGACATGAATATAAGGACAAGTAGTTCAACGAAGAGTCCCTTTTCGGTGAATTCATTCACTTAGCTGTTTAATCGCAATTGCGTCATCAAGATATTTCAAAAAATGTGACAAATAATAGAATTGTAACTGAAGGTGTTGGTGAAGATTGACGAGTCTTGACTAGGTTTATGTAGTATGAACGACGTCCAGGGGAAGCAGGATTTTAATGAAACAGCATGGAGACAAGTGTCCAAAACAAAATATGTTAGTAGGTGGAAAGAGTAAATAAAGGGTCATTTAATTGAATTTACGACTTTCCCGTCGATTGATTGGATCGAAGTGCTCGGTCTCAGGTTTACATGTCTGTGGGCTTCTTGTGCAGATGCTTCGACAATGTCTGGGCATGTAATAAGAAGTTAATTGGTGGATGGTGACCAGCAGTGGAATCCAGGATGCGTATTTCACCGGTCCTATTTGGGACTCGTCAACTGGATGTACCTGCATTCCCCAGGGAGTGAGTGATGATGTTCCCACCGACGCTAGAACCCAACTGGCAATCACGAGTTAGCAAGGTGTATCTAAAACCTTGAAAGAATTAAGATAGGGAGTGAAGTGATAAAGCGCGTTGACCACTTCACTTATTTAGGAAGTTGCATCAGTCAGTGCCAACGGGTTGATCGATAGCTGACGAAATCTCAGCATGGATACAGAAGGCTCGTTGGGTATATGCTAGTTTACGTTATCTCTGGCGTAGACGTGATATCCGGCTGGTTATCGACCAAAGGGCGTGTTTACTGCTCAGCAGTCCGCTCCATCCTCGTGCATGGCTGAGACGTGGCCATTGAGAGTGGAAGACATTGAAAGCCTGGCTAGCTGTCTTTGATCATAGGTGTCTGCGTTCTGTTTACCTTGTTAGGTGGTTTAATAGGGTCAGCAATATAATATTGAGGTTAGGCATCGGTCGAGTGAGTGCTGGGTAAGGAGGGGAAATCAATAGACGAGGTTGTGAAGCTACATCGACTGAGGTTGTTAGGACGTGTGTTACGTATGCCTAGTCATAGCCTTCCTCAACGGGCAATGTTAGCTAAGATAGGATGGATCAGGTTAGAAAATCGTTGGTGGCCAAACCAAAGCATGGTTTCACCAGTCAATGAAATACACAATAATTAGTTTAAGCCGCGTAGGAAGGTGTAAACTTCCTGGTTGGAGACCTTGGGACGGTAAAAACCAATAACTGGAGAAAATTGGTGATATGGTTTAAAATGGTTATCACTGGCCCGCGCAGATACATCCACTCCTTGTGACTTATAATTTCTGATAAAAATATATTGTACTTCGATATTACTATTCTTTTTGCCTCATATTTCTGTTTGTTATTTCTGTTTTGAATCTCTTTTTACTCTCTTGTCATGCTTTTTGTGCTAAATGGAGGGAGTGTGGCGACTCGAACTGCTGCACATCTGTGCAAAGTTCTATGTTGAAACCAGTCAGTCAGTAGTGAAGGAACTCATGGCCCTTCTATAACATTCGAACCCGAATCTCATCTCGGACTTGAGCACTTGATGAAGGGAAAGGGGTTTCCCTTCAACATTTTAGATGTGTCTTGCTTACTGACGAGTGCCAATAAACACGAAACCCCAGGGGGTGTAGGGAGGGCCTCCTGACGACTGACTGTCTCCAATTATCTAACCAGAAAAATAGTACATTCTCTAGCTGGTGGCAGTTATCATCATTATGATGTTTTTAAAGCCATAACTGCTGGAACACATGTTGTTGTACACAAAATCATGGTAACACAACATTCATACATAGCCTAGTAATTTCGACGTCGTCTAAATATGTCTGTTTTGTGTTTTTTGGCACAAATGTGCAAACACTTACATTTTTACATATGTTTATACATGTGCATGGATGCATGTGTTTGTATGTATGTGTGCGGTGTGCAAGTGTTGATATGGCGGACAGATTGATTTATTCTATTTTGAAATAATTGAATAAGATAGTGGTATAATAAATGGTGTGACTCATTCATTATAGGCGTGCATTTTAATCTTCTATGGCTACATGTAATCACAAGATAATAAATAGATTTTAATGTTGTATATAAAAACAACCAACCTTCATGTACACACTTCGGTCATACTTCTATCTTCTTAATAACTTCATGTTTGATGACGGATTGATTTCAGTTAAAGAACCATTGAAAACCACCAAGGAGTACTGTACAACTATTTCGTCCTAGTATGGGACTCTTAGGCAGTACGCACCCACCATGATTCGAATCCGGGATCTCCCGGTTACAAGACAAGCTCTTAGACTATTCAGCCACTTGGAACTGATTTGTTGGCCCCTGAATTCCTATTTCTACCAATTTGTGATATATAGTGTGTGACACCAGCCACTGTCATCGGGCAGCCTGACGGGACCCCACTGGTCATGACTTTTCTTATGAAATTTCTCCAGGCGACTTCACTCTGTAGCCATTGGCGGAAATAGAAGTTGGAATTGACTGATCCATTGAATAGAGTCCCGTTGACTGAATGGCACGCCAGCTTGCCTGGGTTTGATGCCCGGTGGGCTCGTTCTGTCGAAGAGTTTTAAACTGGGACGAAATACTCGCCTATTATATTGGCTGACGGTGTACTACACCGTGAAATGGCAGAAGTTAGAAATCATGTTCTGTTGGATTCCGTGCCAGTGGTTGAATGGTTTACGAGTTTGTCTTATAACATGTACCTCCTGATTTGGATCACAGATGAGGTTATGGATGTGTACTTATGAAGAGTCACAAAGTAGGACGTAACAGTTGTCCACTACTCTGTAGTTTACAGTAGTTTTCAAACTGAAGTCAATTTGTGATCAGAATTGACTTCAGTGATATAGGTGCTAACCACATCATATATTGAAAGATGACCTTCACTGTGTTGAAACGCCATGCAATGAGGCTTCAGAATTATTTGCGTGATGTAAGCAATCCTATGTGAACAATAGTGGTCATGTACGCAGAGTTGCTAGACATCTTCAGCATGGATTGGCGTGAAATTAACTGCTTGAAATGCGTTTTTCACGGTCAGGTGTGGTCATGATTAATTTGTGGCCCAGGATTTCAATATATAATTTAAAAATTCCATCCATGGCATTTGCACAACTTATGCAGCTACCTGTGTGTACTAACTTTTCGATCGCTTTTAACGGTCTTAGTGAGAGAGTGAGAGCACACGGTAGGCTCATCAAATTCTTTCCCAAGTATCTAATCTTTGATTGGGATTAGCACGTGTTTAACTTATGTGATCATAGAAATGCAAATTACTATGGTCTATACATTCGTAAAAAATTATATTTGTAAAATCTCAGCGAGATTGAAATGAGTAATTCCAACGTTTCCTGTGTTCGGCAATCTGGTCCGAACTTCTTCAGGGAAATTAATCGAAATTAACATAACATAGGTTTATATATAAAAAGGAACATCACTTGTTTTTGAAAATTTGTCCAATCATGAGTCATTCAAAAAGTATAATAAACAAAATTTTATGAGCTGCGATCAAAATTTGACCTCGGACTTACAAATATTGGTCTACCTTTGTTAAACACTTTAAACAGAGTGTGTATGTGTGTGTGTGTGGGTAAACAGTTGTAAAACATTTCTTAACGTTTCCATAAGAAGATACGGACAGTCGAGAATTTTGACCAAATATCAATAATTAGTGATACAAATCCATTTTTATTTATTAATAAGGATTTCCTATGCATCAGCTAACATCACGCCTTCATGTCTGTTCAAACTGTTAATATCAAGAATTTTATGATTAGACGTATTTTCAAAACTATGGTGTTTAGGATTAGAGTTTAGTAGTAGCACCCTGTCGAACTTATTGCTTTGTCTTCTTTCTGAAGATTGAGCTGCTTTATTCGACCTACTGGAGTTGTCAGGTGACTCGACAGCTACGGATTTAGGATATGCATTCTGTTGCAGACAACGGAGAGTGAAAACACGATGATTATGCTAATTACATACAGTTATTTTGTTAATTTAATTCAGCTGCAAAATAATTCAAATTAACTGTCTGTCGTCAAGATTTGACAGAATAGTTCTGTCTCATGATTGGACAAATTTTCAAAAACAAGTGGTGTTCCTTTTTATATATGATGTTATATATATATGTTAATTTCGATTAATTTCCCTGAAGAAGTTCGGACCAGATTGCCGAACGAAACGTTGGAATGACTCATTTCAATCTCGCTGAGACTTTACAAATATAATTTTTTACAAACTTCATATTTAATTGAAAACCGGCAGGAGTACTGGACGGCTGTTTCGCCCTAATTTGGGACTCTTAGACAGTACACACCCATCACGATTCGAACCCGAGATCTCCCGGTTACAAGATAAGCTGTTAGACTATTCCTTCACTTGGAACTGATTTGATGGCCCCTGGGTTCCTATTTCTACCAATTTGTGATATATAAAGTGTGACCACCAGCCAATGTCATCGGGCAGCCTGATGGACTCCAACGGTTATGAATTTTCTTATGGAACTACTGCAGACGAATTCATTCAGTAACCATTAGTGGAAATAGAAGTTGGAATTGACGGATCCATTGAATAGAGTCCTGTTGACTGAATGGCACGCCAACTTGCCTGGGTTCGGTGCCCGGTGGGTGCGTTCTGTCGAAGAGTTTTAAACTGGGACGAAATACTCGCCTATTATATTGGCTGACGGTGTACTACACCGTGAAATGGCATAAGTTAGAAATCATGATCTGCCGGATTCGTGCCAGTCGTTGAATGGTTTACGAGTTTGTCTTGTAACGTGTACGTCCTGATTTGGATCACAGATGGGGTCATGGGTGTGTACTGATGAGAAGTCACAAAGTTGGACGAAACAGTTGTCCAGTACTCTGTAGTTTACAGTAGTTCTCAAACTGAAGTCAATTTGTGATTTGTGATTCGAGTTGCCACTCTCCCTCCATGTACCACACAAAGCAAGAGAAGAAACTAGAAGAAATGCATAACAGAGACAGTAGATAGGGATATTATGAGACAAAGGAATAGTAATAACGAAGAACAATATAGTTCCATTGGAAATTATAAGTCACAAGGAGTGGATGCATCTGCACCAGCCATTGAGAACGATGAGTTTGAGCCATATCACCAATCGTCTGGCTGGCTGAAATCGTCTACAGCCTTCATTGGTTTCCACCGTCCCATGAACCCCAGCCAGAATGTCTACACCTTCCTACTTGACTTAAACTAACTGTTGTGGATTTCATTGACTGGTGCCATCCTGAGTGTACTAACTTTTCCATTGCTTTTAACGGTCTTTATGAGAGGGTGAGAGCACACGGTAGGCTCATCAAATTCTTCCCCAAGTATCATCTAGTCTTTGATTGATGTTGAATTTATGCACTCATAAAAATGTTTCCACCCAACTAAAAAAATGCAAATTACTATGATCTATGTACTTCAATATGACACCAAATATCATGGTTGTTTAATTTTGGAAACTTGTTTATTTTATTTATTTTTTTTGAACAGAAAATTTATCATGCTATTAAAACAGAACCACTTCGTGCTGTTTCTGACGATCTATCAGTATATGGTACCAATCAGAATAATGCAATTCATAAAGGATGGCTATGGAAACTCGGTGAGTTGTTATTTATTATTGTCATTTTTAAGCGTGTTGTATTGAAAATAAAATCTGAGACCCGCTGGTGACTGACGGACTAGCTATAGCACACAAAGCTCTCCCTGGACTAGTTGTGACCAGTGGGGTTCACCTGGTCAGTAGTGGAGGACAATGGCTGGTGTCATCAGTCGGGCTAAAATCACGAATTGGTAGAAGTTGGAATTCATGAGCTGGCTGACTGTCTGGCTGGCCAGTAGCTGTCAATAGTCTACTAGCATTCCTTGTAACCGAGTTGGTCTTTGGTTCGAACACTGCCGGTAGGTACGTGCTGATGAGGGGTCTCAAAGCAGGACGATGAAGCCTTTCAGAAGAAACTCATGTAACCTCTAGATTTACCATGGTATCTAGTTCTGTTTGCCTCCTTAGCTATCGTATGTTTGCCTTCTGTTCATTGTTTTTCTCCTCTTCAGTTATAGTGAATTAAAAGTGTTTAAAGTCGAATCAAAACACCGACAAGAAACCATTATCAAAGACCACAAGAAAATTCATTCTACTATACATGAGAAATATCTCTGAAATAACAGCTAGAATACTGAAACCGTTTGATATAGAAATAGCGCACAAGCCAGCCAGCCAACACAATCACTTCATTCGATATTGTGTAAACCAAAAGATCCAACAGAAAAAGGAGATAAAATTAATACCATTTACAAAATAAATTGCATGTATGAACTGCAACAAGCATTACATCGGCCAAAGTGGGCGTCGTCCCCTTCGAATCAGAATCCAAGAACACAAATCAGCCGTGAAAAGACACGATATGTATTCTTTAGTATCAATGCATATAGACAATTATGGACATCAGTTTGATGATTGGGATAATGTCGAAATCTTAGACAGAGGAAACACCAAAGTGTAGTCAGGGAAGTCCTAGAAGCCTTGTACTCAGACGAATATGCAATTAACAAACACGTTAATTTAGTCGAAATATACCAACTAATAAAAAGTAAATCAGGTGACCAGAAAGTTTAAAATCCAAGTCAATAATAAAAATGATAAATACAGATGTAAAGATGGTTACCAGGACACGCAATTCTATCTATCGCTCATGAAGAAATTTAAATCATTTCATTTTATGCTAAATATTGCACTGAAAGGGGATGTTGTCCAGAAGGGGGACGACGAAAGCTCCACTGCAACTAAACCAACCAGCTCAGAGAACACTATTTAATTGCAAAAGTGAATTATTATTTCAATTTCTTTCGCAAGAAATCATTTTGTTTCTCTCAGTTATTAGTTTTAGGAGAATAGAATAAGAAGAGATGAACGGAAATATTTTTCTTCTTTGAGACAAAAAGAGAAGTAGATATTCTTAGATATAAAACGGGGTGGAATCAGATAAGGAGTAGTAATAATAATAATAATAGCTTTATTTCAAACAGTATTTGTGGTACAGGTATGGAATTTTCAGCGTGCATTACAATATTGCATCTAATTACCTCATTAATTTTATAAGATTTTAAAATAAAAAGCAACAACAACAAAAAGAAAAAAGGGAAATAAAAGAAATAAAAAAAGAACGGCACTGCATTCACATATTTAAACATGCACCACAGGATATGATATATAAAATTAGTGTGTTATAGAATATGTGAGCAACAATATAATAGTAACAAAGAAAGGAGAACAAAAGCTAATGGGAACTATTTGTTAGAGTGCCGCAGTAAGTTGATCGTGTCATACCTAACGGATTTCTCATCACATAACAGCTGTGCAAGATAAGGTATTGTGGAGTTTTTGTACTTGTTAGTCCTGGCATATAGCCTCCTATAGTTGCTTCTAGTTCTACCAGATGAAATGCAAGGAGAGAGCTGCGTATAGAGAGGATGCTCGGGGTCAGACAATATAGAATTCGCTAGTTTCTTACATGACATTATATGTCTATCCACAATAGTGTTAACCAGTTGGTTTGACGAAATCCCACTTGTCTTACTAATAGCTTTTAGTGCCCTACGCAGCGAAGCAAAGTCTTTCTTAAGTAGTCCAGGAAAGATTAATGGGGAGCAGTAAAGAGGGATGGTTAGAATACAAGAGTTGACAAACTGAGAAAGCAAAGACTGCTTTATACCAGACTGCCTTAACTTCCTAACGTAGAAATCACTTTGTTTCTCTTAGTTATTATTTGGGAGAGTAGAATAAGAAGAGATGAAGAGAAATATTTTTTTTCTCTTTTGAGACACGAAGAGCAGGAGTTACTCTTAGATACATAAAAGGGGGGTGGAATCAGATAAGGAGTAGCAGTATTAGTAGTAGTAGCAGTAGTGGTGGTCACTTAATTGTGATATGCGCATAAGATAAATTATGATAAAGGTATTATAATAAATATAATAGCAAGCAAATGATATTTATGATATATACGATAACAGATGGAGAGGAATATTAAGTTAGTTGATAATACTACTAGTTATAACTGAATTCATATTTTAGAAGGAATAATATTGCAGAAATCAATGATTATCAGAGAAGTATGATTATTATTATTATAATTATTGATCATTTATTATCCCCATTTCTATTCAATTTCATCATAGATGTGTACTAATGGAATTAACCATAACTGACGTGATATCAGAGACTCAGGGATTGACTTGTTACAACCAGGGAAAAATCTTGTGTTGACTTAGAATATGCAGGTGATATAGTCCTCCCCTCCTAGGTGAAGACATTGACGAAATGCAGAGTCTTTTGAACACCTTGAGCTGTAATCTACGAATGTTTGGCATGAGATTCGCTCCGCGGTCAAATGTAAGATGATGCTACAGGACTGGACTACATTGACCGACTCCTAGCTTAGAAATAGGGAGTGAAATGTTTGGTGGAGCGTATTGACCACTTCACTTATCTGGGAAGTTGCATCATCTCAAACAGATTGACTGCCGACAAAATCTCAACACGGATACAGAAGGCTCGTTTACCATATGTGTCTATCAACTTACTCCACCTCTGGCTTAGTAGACATGATATCTGGCTGACCGTCGACCAAAGGACGTGTGTACTGCTCAGCAGTCCTCTCCATCCTCCTCTGTGGTTATGAGTGACACCTGACCATTGATCATACAGGTCTGCGTTCTATCTCCCGTGTGAAGTGGTGATATAATAGGGTGAGCAATATTGAGGTGAAGCATCGGGCGAGTTGTAGGTAGGTAAGGAAGGGGAAATCAATCGACTAGGTTGTGGAGTTACACCGATTGAGATGGTTAGGACATGTGTTACGCATACATGCCTAGCCATCGCCTTCCTCGACGGGCAATGTTAGCTTAAATCCACAACAGTTAGTTTAAGCCACGTTGGAAGGTGTAGACTTCCTGGTTGGGGTCCTCAGGACGGTAAACACCAATGAAGGCTGAAGACAATTTCTGATATGGCTCAAAATCGTTGATGTCAATCGCTGGTGCAGATGCACCCACTCCTTGTAACTCATAATATCCAATAAAACTATTTTGTTCTTCGATATTACTATCCTTTTTGCCTCATATCTCTGTATGCCGTCTCTGTTTTGCATTTCTTTTTACTTTCTTCTTCTTCTTCTCTGGCTTCGTGTGCTACATGAAGGGAGTGTGGCGACTCGAACTGCTGCATATCAGTGCAAAGTTCTATATTGAAACCACTCAGTCAGTCAGTCAGTCTGGACGCCCGCATCGAAGCAGGCAATTTACTTAGGGAACCAACCTCCAACTCTCCCAGTCTTCGACTTGAAGTGTGATTGTGACCCAATACAGTCGGGTAGTGTCATGATTTGAGTTTCTGCGTGGTTTCCGGTAACCAAAAGAGGTTCATAGGTTATTTGATCCGTTTGAAATATGAAGCCTCTGTACAACAGGCTTTTCTAGTTGTTCCCTTAGGTAGATCTGATTTCATTTTAGTTTCGTTGTAAGTGCCAGGCGTTTGCATTCGCCTCACAGCCTAGACAAGGGGGTGTAATAATTAAATCAGTATTAATGACTAACAGAGTAACATCACGTTAGTGTTGGTCCTCAGACATCGTCGAAATGGTCCGTACTAGGTTTCGACATGTCGACCAGAGATCGATCATTTCCGGTGCAACGTGATCATTCAGCAGAAATCGCAAAGCAACCTAAAAAGATAGGTGGTAGTTTCCTCATCCTGAATGTATAGTCTTCTAATGACATCATCTCCAGGCATTTCTGACATCGTCTTTGTTGTTGAATATCCCAGTATTTTCAGTCATGACAAGGTGTAGACTTTTTGGGCATACATTCAACGATGCTTGGAAACAAAAATAAACCTTTATTGTTCTTATGTACTTCGTCCACGTATACATCTTTTGATAAGTGCCTCTTAAGTTACTAAGAGCGATAAATTGGTCAAGTTTACTTTGTTGTCACTAAACATGTCGTTCAACATTTAATCAAAAAATTACTGGAGCACTTTCTCAATACTGTATTGTATTCCACTTTATCTTATCTATCTTTATAGCACTTCTGTAAGAGTTTCGTGGAAGCCTTTTAGTACTTTAGTACTCTACAACTAGCTTAAATTGTTCCGTGAACCTCTGTAGAGCCTAGTATTTGTGATCACTGATATAGCGTTCGTACTAAAGCTGTTGAAGTTTAACTGGCAAAGTTCAAATTTAGACATCCAGTATAGGCATGGACACACCCGGAATCAGCAATTGCGCTAGAAAGCTAATTTGGGTCCATAACAGTCATATATCCCTTACCAAAATTAATTAGGTGGGTTGAATGATAGACTGCTTGAAAACCACTCACGTGATCTTCAGTTTTATCCCCGGTTGACACACATCTAAACTTCGTTTAGAAGGTTGCAAGCCCCGTAAAGAGGAAAGGTCATGTGTGAATTGAGCAACCCCACCCGATAAAAAATAAACACTACTCTGTCACAGGGACTTCAAGTCTCAAGATTGAAGCCTTATGTTCCACTGAAAATTCAATGGAATACGCAAGTGTTGGTTTGCAGGGATTCGATTGGTTGCAAGATTTCATCATACGGTGACATCATCACTATATATGTGTAAAACTTGGCCACTGTGGTAGTAAGTAATGTTAGATTGCAACGTAAAAAGGAAAGAAGATGGGAAGTTAAACACACTAGTGTGTTTACAGGAAACCCACTGACACATTCAAACAGATATTCGGACTTTCGATCATCCCATCCTATGTCAGTAAAAATGGGATTGGTGATATGTTTAAGTAATAGAGCACAAAAACTAAGTAGTACCACGGAAAGTCTATTACAGGAAGTGAGGCATGTAAGAGAAGCTTTGAAACTTAATAATTGCAATGATAAATTAGTCAGAAAGCATGTAGGGAAATATAAAAATAAAATAAATAATGATAGTAGTGATAGGGATAATAGTAATAATGATAACAATAATAATGGTAATAATAATAGTGATAATAATAATATTAATGACGACACCAACAATAAGGAATCTAAGTCATCAGTAGTAATTCCATACAAGGCAGGAATAAAAGTGGCTGGCATTCAAACCCACAAACTCAATTAGAAACAAGCTTTGTCGGTCGAAGGATCAATCTTGTGGAGCCTTTAAAACAAAACAATTTAGTTTATCTAATATCCCACCTGCAATGATTGTCAGGTCAAATACACAGGTCAAACTAGTAGAACAGGTGCAGTCAGACTAGTGGAGCACAGAAACCTAGCAAAATGTAGATTAGTTTACCCGAATAAGATAAGAAATCTAGAGAATAGTTCAGCTATACCACTCACTATGTGCAATTACATACGACCATACAATAGGATGGGATAGGATGACAGTTTTCAAATCTAATGTAACAGCATGGTGGAGGGAAAGATTGATAACGGTAGGTTTGTTTATCGAATCAACTGCATACCAACACGTGTAACAGGAATGATTCAACACCTGTCCACCCAGATATCTGGAAAATTCTACTACCCATACGACGACAAATAGGAGAGGACAAAGGAAACTATAAAAACTCAAGTTTAGAAGTTGTGTGTTTATAATTGACGATGTGATTATGAACAATAAATTTTGTTCGAAACGTCATCCAGTAAATAATTATACTGTTTCACTCATTCTGTGATACATCTAATAAACAAACTAATAGAAGGTGACATCAGTTGGATAACCATTGGAAAACCAGTCAGCAAGTGTACTGGATAGCTATTTCTTCGGGTTAGTTTGTAACTCTTCCTCAGTATGCTCACCCGCACCGGTTATAAGGCGAGACACTGGGACCCAATGGTCAATGGCCACTTGATGAATTCCAACTTCTGCCAATTCATGATGTAGCGCGGCCACTAGCCAATGTGTCATTCATGGCATAATATGGACTCACACAAAAAACTTGGAGGATCTGGACTTCGCTGATGATATATGTCTCATTTCCCACAAACTGGAAGATATGCAAGCGAAAAGCAACAAGTTGGCAGAAGAACCATCAAAGATAGGACTTCAGGTGAACATAGATAAAACAGAGGTGATGAAAATTCCTGGGCAACACCAACAACAGACAACAATCAGCATAAATGGGAGGAACCTGAAAGAAACAACCTTCTTTACCTACCAACCTGGGAAGCATCGTTTCAACTACAGGCGGACGGAACTGATGAGGATATCAAAGGAAGAATCGGGAAAGCAAGACAAGCTTTCACTACTCTCAAGTCTGTGTGGAGGTCAACAGGACTACTCAGCATCAAAAATAAGATCGGGATTTTCAACTCCAATGTGAAGTCAGTCAGCGCTACTATACAGATCAGAGACTTGGCGCTGCGTCATAAAGAGCATCTCAAACAAACTACAGACCTTCATTAACAGTTGTGTTCGCTCAATACTCAAGATCAGATGTCTCGAAAAGATCAGCAACAGGGATCTCTGGGAGCGAACCAACCCAGCAGGAACCGATTGTGAAACAAATAGGCAGGAAGAAATGGAGATGGATTGGTCATACTCTGAGGAAACCATCAAGTGAGTGACATCACTAGACAAGCCATTGCTCGATTGGAACCCGAAAGGGAAGCGGCGAGTTGGTCGTCAGTGCAAGGGTGACTTGGAGGAGGTCATGTGAAGAGGAGATGAAAACGTGTGGGCAGACATTGAGCCAGGTGAAGACTCTAGCAGAGAACCGAACGCAATGGAGACGCACGGCTGAAGCCCTATGTTCCTCTAGGAATTAAAGGATACAATAAATATAAATAAAATATAAGATCATAGAATAACTATTATTCTATTCTATCTATTATTCTTTAAGCTTCCTATTAGATATGTACTTTTATGTGAAGAAATCATTCCCTATGTATATTATTGAGTTTATAAACCTTGTTATTTGGTAAAACACTATATCTCTTAGGTAACATAATTACAAAAACAACAATTAAGGACATATCTTGGCGCCATTATCGACACGCACACATGCATACTTGTTTGCTTCTTATACTTGAGTATTTAAAAATTAGTAATGCTCTGTGTGTGTGTGTTCATAATCAGAATGAATTGTTAAGTTGTGATGCATTGCTGTAAGACAATCAGTCTCCAACCGAAGGGTTACACAGACTGGAGCCCACAAAATTGGGCGTGCCTAATTACCGATAAACACGGAACTACAGGTGGTTTTTGAGACATGCTTGACTTAATCACTTCTGATTTCTTCATATTTCTTTACAATTCATTATTATTATTATTATTATTATTATTATTATTCATGTTTTGCGTTCCGTGTGGAACTTCTGCTACACTCGGCTCTATGGCATTATTTTTGACTGGCTCTACGATGACTGCCTGGAAGCGTTCATTTCTTCTTCTCCATGATTTTCTCCATGTCAGCCTTGGATGTCCAACCTGTCGCCAACCATTCGGGTTCTATTCTATAGTTTGCCTGGTACTTAGTGGTACTTCAGCGTCTCCTGAGCGTAATTTGCATAATTTGTTTTGCAAATTGGCTGTTGGTAGTTGGTTTACTTGACTGCCAGGCTTTTCTGTTGTTTATTCTGTATGGTATCCATGTTTGAGTGAGTTTCAAAATTTGTCCTGGACGCATAATTGTGGCGCAGTTCAAGTTGCCACACTCCAATGTGGGACACAAAGTTGGAGGGGAAAAAATCTTAAAGTATTATCTGATGAGCAGAAGTGTACAGGGAGAGTAATAAAATAGCAACACCATGAGGCATTATAATGAAGATGGCAGATCATAAAAACTGAAAGCGTATATGCCACAGATAAGAATTGTGAACCATATCACCAATAATCTCCAGCTATTAGTTCTTAAAATCCTGAGGACCCCTATCAGACAGTCTACAACTCTCTCCACATGGCTCAAACTAATTGTCAGCGACTTCATAGACTATTGTCGGGTTTTTATTTGTGACTACCTGTGACTTTTCCAACCTGATCATTTGTTGGCTAACGTTCGTCGAGGAAGGCCGATTAGCTTGGCATACTCAAAACACATGTCCTAGCCATTTCAATCGATGTTCAAGTGTGTCAGGTGTCTGTCTGTTCTGTCTAACTTCGACATAGAACTTTGCATCGATGTGCAACATTTCAAGTCGCCACACTCCATGTAGCACACAAAGGAAGAGAAAAAAAAGTTAAAAGAAATTCCAAACAGAGACAGTGAACAGAGATATGAGGCAAAGAGAACAGTAGTATCGAAGAACAAGATAGTTTTATTAGGAGTGGATGCATCTGCACCAGCCATTGACAACAATGAGTTTGAGTCATATCACCAATTGTCTCCAGCTTTCATTGGTTTTTACTGTCTTGAGGACCTCAACCATTCAGGAAGTCTATACCTCCCTTTGTGGCTCGCTTAAACTAACTTTTGTGGATTTCATTGACTGGTGCCATGTTTTCGTTTGACTGCCGCTAGCTCTTTTCCAACCAGACCCTATGTCAGTTAACATCACCCATTGTCGAGGAAGACGAATGATGGCTAGGTATACATGCGTAACATATATCCTAACCATCTCAGTCGATGTAATTTCACAACCTCGTCGATTGATTTCCCCTCCTTACGTAGCACTCTATCGACGCCTAACCTCAATATTGCTCACCTTATCATACCACTTTAGACGGGAGTTAGAACGCAGGCACCTATGATCAAAGACAGCTAGCCAGGCTTTTCATGTCTTCCACTTTCAATGACCATGTCTCGTTCACAGCCATTAAGGAGGATAGAGCGGACTGATGAGCAGTACACCCGCCGTTTGGTCGACAGCCAGTCGGATATCACGTCTACGTCAGAGACTGCGTAAACTGTGTCAGGTGACTCAATAACTATGCATTAGTAACAAAATGTCACTATACTTGAATGCTTTTTATGTGTACATGTTTAGATCAAAATCTTTTTCTGTTTTTTTGTTGTTGTTCGTACAAATCTAGGCGGTAGAGTTAGAAGTTGGAAAAGACGATGGTTTGTGCTGACAGAAGATAATCTACTTTATTATTTGACACCTGAAGTAAGTCTGTTTTTTAAACTCTTCAAGTATTGGTTTGTAAGGATTTGATTGATTAGTTAGTTACAGGATTTCATCATGAGCTGACATTGGTTAGAGAACCATTGGAAAACCAGTCAGGGAGTACTGGACAGCTGTTTCGTCGGCTTAGTTTGGGACTCTTCATCAGCATGCAACCACACGGTGGCGTTCGATCAAAGGACCAGAGACCAGTAGGATGCAGCAGGTTGGATGTGAGGACAAATATTGACTGAAGACATTGACTGGCGGTCACGCTATTTCGTGAATTAGCAGAAGTTGGAATTCATGGGCTATCCATTGGATCGGGTCCCAGTGGCTTTATGGTCCACGAGCTCGCTAGCCTTGTAACCAGAATGTCTTGGGATCGAACCCCGTACTGTGGGTGCGTAGTATTGAAGCGGAGTCCCAAACTAGGCTGACAAAACAACTCTTCAGTACTCCCAGGTTTGAAACTTTTGTTGTCTGTCAGTGTTATATTTTGTAAATTTAAAAAAAGTAGTTACATGCGCACTATACGTCAGTGGTTCAGGAGTAAAACGCTCGCCATCCACCCACGTAGTTCGGTATTCGATTCCCCGTCCAGTACACTTTAAGACCTTGCCTAGCTTGGTAGTAAGTCCGGAGAAAGTAGGGAAATTTTTAGCATGAGGCTAGCAACCCTACCCCATTCCGTAAGAGTGACACTGCTGCTACCGAAACTTCAGAACTCAGGCTTCGAAGCCCTAAGCTCCGCTTGGAATGCAAAGCCAGAAAAGAAGAAGAAAGGAAAAGAAATGCAAGATAGAGACAGTAAACAGATATATGGGGTAAAAAGAATAGCAATATGTAAGAACAATTTAGTTTTAGCGGGTATTGTAGTCATCATAAGGGGTGGATGCATCTGCACCAGCCTTTGGGAACGATGAGTTTGAGCCATATCACCAATTGTCTCCATCCTTCATTGGTGTTTACCGTCCCGAGGACCCTAACCAGTTATTCAGGAAGTCTACACCTTCCTACGTGGTTGGCTTAAACTAACTGTTGTGGATTTGATTGGCTGATGAAGTCATGTTTTGGTTTGACCGCCACTAGGTCTTTTCCAGCCTCACCCTATGTTGGCAGCTAACATTGCCTGTTGTCGAGGAAGGCGATGGCTCGGTGATACGCGTAACACATGTCCTAACCATCTCTCTCAATCGATGTAACTTCACAGCCTCGTCGATTGATTTTCTCTCCTTAATTAATAGTCGACCGATGCTTCACATCAATATTGCTCAACTTATTATACCACTTCACACCTCTATGATCAAAGACAGCTAGCCAAGCTTTTCATGTCTTCCTTTCTCAACGGCCGGGTCTCACAACCATAAAGGAGGACAGAGAGGCCTGCTGAGCAGGACACACGCCCTTTGGTCGATAGCCAGCCGGCCGGATATCACGTCTAATAAGCCAGAGATGGCGTAAACTGGCATATATGCAGACTGACGAAACATCTGTCCAGTACTCCTTCACTGGTTTTCAATACTCCTCTAATTGTTGTCAATTTGTGATCAGTCTTCAAATTAGAAAAGTCTAGTTAGTTAGTTAGTTAGTTAGTACCTTACATCTTTTATAATAGCTTAAATCCGTGCACAACTTCAAATTGTTATTTTATCATCACAATCGGTGTTTACCAACTTGAAAGTGATTGTTTCATACAAATATTGTAACTATATGACATCAAATATTTGATATGATGTCATTTTTTTAGAAAAAATATTCAACTTTCTGTCCTCTGTGTGTTTGTCAAACTGTCAATTTCTCTATGTCATATATATATATATATATATATATATATATATATATATATATATGGAATACTGCGTAACTTTGTACAACAAAGTGCATCCATTTTTTTCTTCTAATTTTGGTGCACTTTTAACGACAAAAACAACAACACATCAGAAGAAAGATAACGTTTTTAAAAAATGTTATTATTCATAACTTTAGCACAATAGAGAAACACTAGTTTTTCTGTTTTTATTTATTGTTTCATTGTGTTGGTGTTGAGGGAGGAGATTGGATTCATTGATCTGATGGTTAGATTTTGTTATGAGCCTTTATCAGTCATCGAGGTGAATCAGTGATACTACAAGCTAAGAAGCATCGCTGATTATGATGATGATTGGGTTCTATGCCATTCTTGTCTTCTGCTTATATACATACTTCTTTACTGTTCCCCTCCTCCCTTAATCTTTCCTAGGATACTTTGTTATGCTGCGTAGGGCGCTAAGAGTAATGGAAAAATTACCTTCAGTTAAATTTGAACCTTCACTGAAGGCTTTTAACGACCCTAATCAGTTTGTCCGTAAACACAGTAGATGTACTTTAGATGTCACTGTCGTGTTATATCATAATATTGTCTCCAGTTTCGATTGAGGTGCCAAACATGTTCGGTGTGTTTTCCTAGATTCTACACCTGCCTTCGACTATGTACCTAGGCCTCTTCTATTAAACAGGCTTGCTGCGACGCAGGTACAGTGCTGGATCACAAGCAAGTGGTTGTATTCCTATTTATTTTATGATAGGAAGCAGTACACTGTTTACAATGGGAAGTCCTCGACTGCTTGCTTTACTCACTCTAGCTGGTGTTCCTCAGGGAGTTGTTTTTTCCCCCCTTCTGTTTTCTTTCTTCTTATATGACTTGCCGGATTCTGATGAAGCCAGTTTTGTTAAGTATGCTGATGATCTGATTGTTTTTATCACAAATTAGTCAGTGGCTCTCGTCAGATGGTTTAAAGCTAAATCTCTCCAAATATCAGGTTGTTAATTTCACTTCGAGATGCAAGTGAGACCTACGTGAACTGACTAGTTCGTGCGTCTCCACTATCATAGGTGGCACTGAAGTTGAAATGTTCAATACATTGAACTGTGTATTTCTTCTGACCACCTTTCTTGGCCTTCTCACATTATGTTAGTTTCCAGAAAGATATTTCGTTCGACTTTCTGCGTATGTTGTTATGTATGTTATGTATCCATAAGATGAGATTGAATAGAGCTATGAATGGATTTTGTTTGTCCTTTACTTTACCAACCTTGTAGGATGATGTTCAGAAATCCGACGATAAACAATCCTCATTGTACGGTCTATGTTTTTTTTCCTTTACGTTCCCCAGTGGAACATAGGGCTTCAAGCTGGTGGCTTGAAGTTTCTGTAGCAGTGTTTATTTTACAGGATGGGGTTGCTAGCCTCATGCCCAACCTTTCCTCTTCACCAGCATTATTTCTGGCTTAGTCAGGTAAAGGAGTGCGTCGGCCGGGGATCGAACCCCGGACCATGTGCATGGTTGGCGAGCATCCTAGCCGCTATGCCACCGACGTACGGTCTATGTAACTGACACGAAACCTAGGTCAGTTGGGGGATTTCTGCTGGATTACCTCGAGATATCTAGCACACCATCTGTTTGTATGTTCACTAGTATATATCCATTCTATTGTTTCATTTCTGTCTTTTTATTTTTAGCGTTCTCGTCAAACAAAAGGTGTCATCCAATTGGAAGGGATTAATATTCGACTGATAAATGATAAAACGAAAGAATACTGTTTTGAATTATTTTGTCCACGGAATCAATTGATTAAATCGTGTAAAGTTGAAAGAGAATTAGCCTCAGCTCCAGGTTAGTTGATCAGTTAGTTATTTAGTATGCACTTCCTTTTACGCGGCTTTATTACTTTTTATTGTTGAAGAAATCAGGTTTCTGTTGTTAAACCTGGTGTGTGCCACATGTTATTATAATAATAATTATTATTATTGTTCCCTTGGGTTCCTAGTGGAACATAGGGCTTCAACTGCACGTCTCCACTCTCTTCTGTCTTGTGTTGTACTTTTCATTTGCATCCATGTTAATCCATACTGTTTCAACTCCTCTTCACACGATCTCCTCCATGTCACCCTTGTAATTCCCACTCGCCGCTTCCTTTTCGGGTTCCACTCGAGCGATGGCCTGACGCGCGATGTCACCCAGCGGCCTCCTCAGCGAGTGTCCAATCCATCTCCACTTTCTCCTGCATATTTGTTGAGCGATTGGTTCTTGTTTTGTTTGTTCTCATAGTTCCTTGTTGGTTCTTGTTCTTTCCGGTCATCTGATCTTCAGTAGTATAGAGCGAAGACAGTTGTTGATGGAGGTCTGCAACAGGCTGTTGGAAATATTCTTTGTGACCCGCCAAGTTTCTGATCCGAAAAGAAGAACTGACTGACTGACTTGACGTTTGTATTGAAAATCCGAATCATTTTGTTGCTGATGCTGAGTTGAGTGACGAAGATTTCCAAATTGGTTTCAGGTTGATGAATATGTTTCTCGCCTTCCCGACTCTCGATTTGACATCGTCGTCCGTTCCTCCTGTAGTTGAGACAATGCTCCCTAGATAAGTGAATGAAGTAACCTCTTTCAAATCCCTCCCGTTGATGGTGATTGGCGCTGGATGTTGCTGCTGTTTTTGTTGTTGTTGGTTGGTTATTTTCATAACCTCCGTCTTGTGTATGTTCACCTGGAGTCCTGTCTTCTCTGGCTGCTTCTTCGACAAGTTTGTCGGTTTTCGCTTGTAAGTCTTCGATTTTGTGTGACATCAAACACAAATCATCCGCGAAATCCAGGTCTTCTAGGTTCTTCACGTCAGTGGTCCAGGATATCCCTGTCTTCTAGTTTCCCTCTGTCTGACGCATAATCCAGTCCACAACAATTAGAAATATCATTGGTGATAATAAGCACCCTTGTCTGACTCCTGTGTTTACTCCAAACGCCTCGCTGAGTTTTCCGTTGTGGATCACTTGACATGTGCCGTTGTCGTATAGCTGCCAATGTATTGGAAATGGATCTGTTCATGTTTGTAATCAGTAACTGGTATCAAATCGAAGTTATTCTTTCTCACGTAGGAGATAACTAAGTTACTGGATGACATTCATGCCATTCAAGTGGAACATAAGGCTTCAACCTCGTATATCTACTTCATCCTATTCTTTGAAGTCCTTTTTAGCTGTCTTGACCAGTGTGTCTATAAGCTTTCATCTTCTCCTCACACGATGTCCCTCATGTCATCCTTGGACTCCATGCCTAGCTCGTCGTTCCCTAATCGGGTTCCATTCGAGCGCTTGGCGTGCGATGTCATCCAATGGTCTCCTCAGTGTGTGTGTCAAACCCAGCTCCCTCCCCCTCTGCATAGATCTTAACCGGCGGGTTCTCGGTTGTTTCATTGTCGGGCCGGCTATATGATCTTCTGTTTCTGGTGAAGACTTGTGTTCCTGAAGTCTGTAGTATCTGCCTGTCGGTAATGCTTTTCATGTCTTAAGCACCTTGTCATTGAATCATTTAGAAGAACTGACTGAATTAACATTGATATTGAAAATCTGAGTGCAGCAGAACTTCACATTGTTTTCGGAGTAATTGCAAGCTAGTGCTTCTTTTCCGATTCTACCTTTGACATTCTTATCAATGCCTTCTGTAGTTCAAGATGGTGTGATCTCGTTTTTTGGATTTCTTTTGTGTATGATGGTTGGCACTTGTTATTGGTTAGTAATCTTCTTCACCTATTGTAGGTCCTGTAGGATTTAACTTGTGGGCTGTCATAATTTCTGAGGTTTATAGATAAGAGTTTGATTAGTACTCCTTTGGCGTAGGATTTCCGCGTACTCTGTAGACGATTCTGAAGTTGGGATTCATGGGCCATTGGATCGGCTCCCAGTGGCTTTAATGGTCTATGAGCTCGCTCGCCTTGTAACCAGAACGTCCTGGGTTCGAACCCTAGTGTGTGCGTACTACCAAAGCGGAGTCCGAAACTAGGCTGATGAAACAGCTGTCCAGTACTCCCGGGGTTTTAACGGTTTTTTCTAACCGATGTCAGCTCATGATGAAATCCTGTGACTCTGAAGTTTGTATTTCGCTGGTTTGTTGGCTGTCCAGAATCGTATTGCAGGCGGTATTTTTTGCCTCCTCTGTAACGTCTTCTCAGTAAATGTTTCATGATACGTTTAGATAGCAATGACAATCAAACTGGCTGTATATCTGTCCATTTCATTTTATATTAGGAGGGTTAACAAACGCCTATATGGCTACAAAGTAAAGTTAGCCTTTCACATACTTTTGTAACAAAGGCAGATATCTTTGTGAAACCACGAATTAAGGGTGACTTATTCATGGTTAACGTCAATCTTGTGTTCTCTATCCACAAGATGAGATAGAATAGCGCTGTGGATAGATTTTGTTTGTCCTTTACTTAACCAGCCACGCAGGGTGTTGTTCGGAAATCCAACGAGAAACACGCCTAATTGTACGGCCTATGCAACTAACTAGCTCCACAGGAGCAGTTAAACTGGTAGATACACATGAAAGAGGCGAAATTAGGGAGTTTGTCTTTTACTCCCGAAAACAAAAGAGGAGTGGTTTTAAAGATAATTATAATAATAAACAGAAGTCCAGGTAAGGGAAAAAGAATGGTAATGTGTGATTCATCAAAATAAAATCTTATCCATAATGGAGTTACACTCTACCACAGTGCCCAAGTTTTATATGAAGAAGAATAGAGTTTTATTGGATTTGACTTCTGCGCCAGCCATTGAAAACGACGATTCTGAACCATATTAACAATTGTCTCCAGCTTTCCTTTGTTCTTACCACCCCGAGGACCCCAACCACTCACGAATTCCACACCTCCATACCTGGCTGGGTGGCTGCTTGGCTTAAACTAACTGTTATGGATTTCACTGACTGATGAAGCCATGCTTTGGTTTAACCACCACTAGCTGTTTTTCCACCTGATCGATCCTGTGTCAGTCAGGCAGGATGTCTAGGCATGCGTAACACCCACCTCAATCGATGTAACTGCACAACCTCATCGGCCGATTTCGCCTCCATTCCTTTCGTTACAATATAGTCGGAAACAATGTGTGTTTTACCAAGTAAATGGTCATTGAATCACACACGAAGTTCATTAAAGATGATTTATTAAGGTGTCTGAAAATAAAAGCACTAATCATGATTTTTTGTCACAATACTAATTTAAGATCATTTAAGATAATGGAGGGACTTTAAATTAATCATCATGTGCATTGCAAATGGTGTGTGTACAGAAAACAATAAATTTCAACCTTATCTCTGCCCTGGATTACTTGACCCCTTATTATTAATAGAATGACGATTAGTCATTTAAGTGTCCGTTTCTTTCATACCTGACATTTTCATATTTTTGTCTGCAATGCGATGATACAGAAACTATGAAATTCCTTTAATTGAATTTTAGATTTTCCCGTCGATTGATTGGACTGAAGTGCTCGGTCTCAGGTTGACATGTTTGTCGGCTTCTTGTGCAGATGATGCTTCGACGATGTCTGGTCTTGTAATTAAAGGTTAATTGGTTGGATGGTGGCTGTCGTGGCCCAAGTGGTCTAGTGGATAACCCTTTGGCCTTTGAAACTATGGGCACTGTGTTCGAGCCCCGGTGGGAACATTATCACTCACTGCGGAATACAGGTACATCCAGTGACGAGTTCCAAGTGGGACGAAATGTGCGTTATCCTGGATTCCACTACTAGTCACCATTCACGAAATTTCTTGGTCTCACAGTATTTGTCAGCTCAATGGATGCAATTCAACTGACCGATAGATGCTACCTAGATGTGGTGGTCGGACTTGCATATCGCATTGTTCCAAAGAGAGCTACACTGGCTGGAACTTATGTTGCTTCAGGTCCTGCCATACCAGAAAGGTTGTTTGAATAGAGTTTAGACTAATAGAAGTTTCCATGATACTGTTGGTTGTTTACAATATGTTGGGAGTCTATGGGCGATGTCGTGCTGATAGCAGTAAAGTGTCTCCCTCAGATGACCAGCATGCCAGCTGTGCAGCTTTCTGTACTGTGGAGAGGGAGGCTAGTAAAGGTTGACGCTGAAAATTGTACATCCCGACTGTCCTCAACCAGCGGTAAGTTCTAGATAGAGAAAAAGTTTCAAACAAACAGGTCGTGTGCTTGACTATCCTCAAAAAGTTGTCTTCCGTGCTCTGGGGTCATGCAATACAAATACCTGAAGAAACAATCACCTTTATGGTGTGGATAGTCGGAAAGTAACAGTGGCCCACACAATATTCCATAAGCTTAAAAAAGCTTTCTTAACTATTCACAGTCATAATTTAATTCAGTTTAGACTTTCATGACACGTGATGCCATTTAACGGTCTCCTCAGTGTGTGTCCGACACATCTCCATTTTTTCTGCATATTCGTTGAGCAATGGGTTCTTAGTTGATTGGTTTGGAAATCTGCACTCAACGCAAAGAACTACATTAGGATTTTCAACATCAATGTTAAGTCATTCACTTCTTCTATATGGGTCAGAAACTTAGCCCATGCGTCACAGAGGGCGTTTCCAACAGGCAGACTTTTACCAACAGCTGTCTTCAATTGCTTCAAATGGCCAACAAGAAAGAATTACCGACAAGCATGTAATACTACCTGAGTTTTATTAACACATTCTGTATTGGTCCTCAAGGTGTGACTGAACTGCATTAAAAAATAATTTTGAGTTAGGTCGTAGATTGATATCCGTTAGAGAAGAATTAAAAACTACGAAGGAGTGATGGACAGCTGGTTTTTCCTGGTTTTTAGACTCTAAAGCAGGATGCACCTATGACCCCAAGGAGAGTATCAAACTCCTGAACCTTTAGGTTAAGAGGAGAGAGTTTGTTGACCATTCAGTTAGCTGCCACTGAATCCAATGGCACACTTGACTGACTACAAAGCCACCGCCTAGTATTGTATTGAGAAATCGTGACCTTTAGAGGTCGAATAGGGGGGTGGTCAGATGTGAGGACAAATACATGATTATGTGATGGATAGTGGCTAGCGATGATGTTAAGAATTACGCAGTTGCAGAAATTAAGAACTTTTGTGTCATTCAGTTTCATCTTAATGGATAAAAAGTCAAGGAGTGTACCTTGTGATCTGAAGACGCTGGGTTCCATCTTCTGCGGGGTCATGATGACTCCCATCTGTTCAATTCTCTGTGGTTCTCGAACTTAACGTGTCAGGTTATGATCTCACGTGAAACCGATCATATCCTAGCAAAACCAAGATACAACTGAAAATATTCTTTGATCCTCTGTGGGCATTGATATAAACTAGATGAAGTTTACTTTGTCACATTTTCTCCTCTCTGTTGTATTTAATCTTGTATGTGAAAATGTGCACATAATGAACTTTCTTTTCTGTTATTAAAATGTTCTTCTAGGTCATCACACAGTATATCGAATGGCTGCACCTACGCAAGCTGAACGTGATGAATGGATTCGTATGCTTGAACGTGTTACGCATCGATTAGCTGAACGACGTGGTACACGAAGTATCAGTGTCGATTGTACTTCTAGTAGTAGTAGTACTGCTGCTGCTGCTTTTGGTGGTGGTGGCGGTGGGCCTGGATCATCATCATCAATGACTATAGGACGAAAACCAGGCGGTAGTCATTTACCGCCTCCTGTCTCTTCTGTATCACTTCGACGTAATGGTGCTGGCAGTCAACCAGATTTACCTAGTCAACAGTCTGTGTTAAACTAGTTCTTATTATGTTGTTTTTTTATTTAAAAAAATTTGTTTTCTCCCCTCTTTGTTTTGATGCATTTTTGGTGCATTCTGATGATTGTAAAGTAAATATTTTGATTTTTTGATTCTTTGTTTGTTCACTTATTTATTTATTTTCTGTGTTTTTGTAATTCCTGTTATCCACACCTCATTTGTTGACAAAACAGAGGCACAAAGACCGATCGTGATGATCGATAAACTCTGCTTTCCCCACTCCCTCCCCAAACCCAAGTTGTGAATTTCATTAGCATATATGTCAAGCGAAACACATTCCTGTTATTCTTCGCCTTTTCCTCTCCTATCCGCCTACCCACCTCTCCAACACATGTTTTCATTGTTCTCGTTTGATCTGATCTGATCTGAATTATTTATTTGCGATCCCAAAGATTTGTCTGACTGTTCGTTTTTATTTTGTTTTGTTTTGTTTGTTTTTCTGGTAATTGGATCTTGTTTATGTGTAGTTTTTATATTGTCTGTCAAATGTTCCCTCTCACACATGCACACACACACAAAGAGTCATAGTCAGTCAATCTACTCACTCATCTCCCCACCCCCAACCCATGGTGTACGTGTCAATGGGGCAAAATGAAATACGTGAGAAAGTAGACAAACACGGGATTTATGACTGTATAAAATGTGTCCTTGTCAAGATTGGAGAACAAACGCAGTGTCCGTTTGTGTGTGAAATACCGGGGTTGTTTTTCCTTGTCTGTCTGTTCGTGTGTTTGTTTCCTCATGTTTTCTACTGCTACTTCTATTCTCTCTATAGTTTTACCCATCCATCTAGGCACTCAGTCCCTCATTCATGGATTCATTCACTGATTCACTGTCTCCTCTGTTATGTGTACATGGGGAACGAACCCCCCCCCTCCACTTTCTCTTTTAATATGTGGGAGAGACACAATGTATATTCTGTGTATTAAACGCTAGATTCTTTTTGATGAAAGTACTGTCGTTCTTCCTCTTTTTTTAAAATTTCTATTCGTCTTCTCTCTTCGAGGTTTTTGCCTTTTCTGTTCATAGTTGTATGGTATTCACTCCCGTTACTCTATCGATCTATCTATCCATCTGTCTATTTGACGATAGAGATCTAACTTTTGGTGTATTCCTCTTCGGCTTCCTCTTCTTCTTCAGCAATGGTGTTAATAATATATTTGTTCTTATTCCTTCAGTAGTAATAATAATAATAATAATAATAATAATAATATGGTAATATTTATATATACGTATGTATGCAGGTTCTTCTTCTTCGGGTCTTGGGTTCGAGTCTGTTCATAATATATTGTAAGCTATTCAATAAAGGTCTCTCTTGTATGCATCTATGTATGTATGGGGCGTAACTGTAATTCAATTCTTCAATGTATTATCACTTGTTTGTTTTTGTTATAACAAAACACAAACAACCCGGCTTCTTTCTCTTCTCAGGTGTTATGTATTTCAATAAAAACTAACTAATTGATGCGCATATAAAAATAATATACCGACTTGCTTCCCATGAGAAGTACTCAGTTTTACAGATTGTAAATATTACATATTACATAATATTAATGAGTGGAGTTTCTCAATGAAAAAAAATATATATGCATATGTATTTATAAAATATATATATTATTTGTTTAACTTTTAATTTTTCGTATTTTTAAAAAAATTGTTTCATGTAACTGTTTTTGGTTGTATGTTGTGTTGTCAATTATTCTGCCTTTTATCTTAATATGTTTATGTTTTTATTTTTACATTACCTCACTTAAGTAAGTAGGATTTAACTAGGTGTTTCGAGTGTGTGTGTGGGGGGTTGGGTGGGGAGGGAGAGTGAAGAGCTTCAGTCAGACGTGTCCCAGCAATGCATATTGTGTTCTGTATTATTTCTTCCTATTGTTGGTAGTAGTAGTGTAACGACAGAAGACAAGGTCTGGGCAACATATCGTTTGCTGAAAAAATCAACAGATATTTATAAATTTTTATGTGTACATTATTACTCGTTATTGTTAGCAGAGAGCAACGTCTTCTGATTGGTTGTTTTCCTGCTGAAGGTTATTCTATCATCTCTTTGTTGCTGTTTCTTAGACAGTCCTTTGATATATCTGCTAATCGTATCCGCCCACGCTGTCTGTCTGTTTTCGACACAGAACTTTGCACCGATGTGCAGAAGTTCAAGACACCACTCTCCCTCCATGTAGCACACAAAACAAGAGAAGAAAGTAAAAAGAAATGCAAAATAGAGACAGTAGACAGGGATATGAGACAAAGGAATAGTAAAAACGAAGAGCGATATAGTTTTGTTGGGTATTATAAGTCACAAGGAGTGGGTGCATCTGAGCTGTCATTGAGAACGATGATTTTGGGCCATATCACCAGTTGTATCCAGCGATTGGTGTTTACCATCCCGAGAAACCCTGGCTTAAACTAACTGTTTTAGATTTTATTGGCTGATGAAGCCATGTTTTGGTTTCATCACCACTGGCTCTTTTTCAGCCTAAACCATCCTATGTCATCTAAAATTACCTCTTGTCGAGGATGGCGATCGATACTACGCATGCATGACACATGTCCTCTCTCAATCATGTCTTCCACTCTCAGTGGCCAAGTGTCACAGCCATAAAGGAGGATGGAGCTGAACTGATGAGCAGTACACACACCATTTGGTCGATAGCCAACCGAATATCACGTGTACGCTAGAGACAGCGTAAATTGGTATATGCGAAACGAACTCTCTGTATTCAAGCTCAGATTGTGTCAGTGATGAACCCGTAGGCACTGGCTGATGCAACTTCCCAAATAAGTGAAGCGGTCATCGTTCTCTACCACTTCACTCTCTATTTTTAAACTAGGAGTCAGTCTAGTCCAGTCCTGTAGCATCATCTTATATTTGACAGAGGGGGCGAATCGCATCGCCTACGCTAGGTTTGCTGTGATTGGTTGTTGAGTTCCTCAAGGTTAGTCTTTGTTCTTGCTTTTTCTCATGACCAAGATTTGGGACGTATACACTGATGTAAATTGCTGTCTATCAATTTTGGCTAGCCGACAGCTCTCACCACAGTAGGACTTTACAAGATTTCACTTCGTCGAAGGGATACCTTACTTGTTGCTTCTCATATAGGTTTATAGTCTAAGGTCACCCTGGCGTGTGTTTGTGTGTGTTTGACGTCAGTTGAGTGTCCCCTCGAGCCAAACCAGGTGTAAGGGTGAACTGCTCTTTGGGTGGTTCTCCCTCCTTGTCTATAAATCGCATAGACAGTTGGGGGATATTTTTTATGCATTTTCATAGTAGTAATCAATATTTTATTAATATAACTGTAATATCTTGAAGAGAGCAGCATGGAACGACATATATATATATATATATATATATATATATATTGTTTTTGACCAACTTTTTAACTCATCAACTAGTTCTCTGTCACTCTTGAACATTCAAGTCGTTTTCCGATTAGCTCATAATCGAGGGTCTGACATGTGATGTAACCACATACGGCACACCATACTGGATAATTTGAATAATGTAGATTTCTAAAGAAGGGGAGTTCAATCTGTAATTCAACCACCCAGAAGGAAGGTCTATGTTGTCTCTCGAATGATATTCGCCTAAACCTCGCCTAGTTAGTTTTTAGTTTTAGCAGTCAATAGTAAAACAGGAAAAGATGGAGAGTGGTTAGGAATGAGGGTAGTAAGAATCTTATGCCATAAAAATTCCTTCTGAAAAACGTCAAAGCTTGTGGAATGCTATGAAAAGACAGAGGTAGATGCTCCAGGAGATGGCTGATTCACTAATGCATTAAATGAAAGCTTTTGTATCAAGAGTTTGTCTGTAGAGATTTGTCTTGTTTCATATTTGGTCATTGATTGATATCAGTTAGGGCACCATTGAAAACCGGCACGGGGTCGTCCTAGTGTGGAACTCATCGGTGGTACGCACCTACCTACCGGGGTTCGAACCCAAGGCCTCTGGATTACAATTCAAGCTCGTAGACCATTCAGTCACCGTTTGTATGAAGGTTTTCGAATGAGAAGTTGTTATCCATTACTGGCGGTCATTCGGTCTGAAATGAGGACAAATACTTCCCACGGATGACATTGGCTGGTGCCAGTAGCGCTGAAATCACGAATTGGTTGCTGTTGGAATTCATGGGTTGGCCACTGAGTCGATTCTTAGTGTCTGAATAGTCGATGAGCCTTCCTTGGAATCGGAAGGTCCTTGGTTCAAACCCTGGTGGTGGGAGAGTACTGATGATGAGTCCCAAACTGGGATAAAACAACTGTCCAGTACTCCTTCACTGGTTCTCTAACTGATAGCAATCTGTGACCAAACGTGGGACAGTTTTTCGCAAGAACGTGATATTGTCATTGTAGTATGTTCTACTTATAACCGTACACACATAACCTGTATGTTGATACAGCGTCTATTGGAGATGGTTGTAATGATCGTTGTGCTATGTAACTGACTGAAGTGATTCAGGAGAAACTTGATGATGATGATGATGATGATGAAAGTTCACGATTTTTACCCCTTGGCTTGTGATGTGTTATCTTTCAAACCTCCGTCCAGTGGTGAGATCATTTCGATTAAGCTTATTATTATTATTATTATTCCCGTGAGTTCCGAATTGTAGAACATAGGGCTTCAACAACATATTTCCACATTGTCGTATCTTCTGCTGCCTTCTTCAGCTTAGACCATGATTCCCCACATTCTTTCATCTCCTCCTCCAACATACGATCTCATCCATGTCACCCTCGCACCGATAACCCACTCGTCGCTTCCCATTGGCATTCCACTGAATCCATGACCTGGCTGGCGCGCGATTTAATTCAACTGTCTCTTCAATGTATGCCTGATCCATCTCTATTTTCTCCCACATATTTTTTAAGCGATCGGCTCTCCCCTATTGGTTTGTTCATCGCCAGAATTTCTAGTTGCTAATTCTTTCTGGCCGGCCGGTTGGTCAGTTATTTGATCTTCAGTATGAAGCCAACCAGAGAAGTTGGCAACTGTTGCAAATCCTTTTCGTTACACTCAGTGCAAATTTCTGACTCGTATAGAAGAACTCACCGACTTGACATTGGTGTTGAAAATCCGAATCTTGTTCCTTATGTTGAGTGACAACAAAAGATTTCCAATTTGGTTTCGATTTAGCTAGCAAGCTGTATGATTGTCAGAGTGTGGTAGTGTTTTGCAATTACTCATATGAGGTGTTTTATAAATCCTGAAGAGAATCGAAAATTCAACAGATGACAAAGTGATTGAGGAAAAGGAGGAGGATATCTGTCTGTCTGGCTGGATTCAACATAGAACTTGGCACCGAAGTGCAGCAGTTCGAGTTGCCACGTTCCAAGTAGTACACGAAGGTAGACAAGAAGATGAGTGAAGAGAATCAATAGAATTTTGACAAGTATAAGAGTGAAATAGAATGAGTAATGGTAGAAAGGAATATGTAAGATTACAGAGACTGAATACATCTGTGTAAGCCATTGACAACGATTTTGAGCCATGTCACCTATTGTCTCCAACCATTGATTCTTAGAATCCCGAGGGTCCCAACCCGGAAGTCTGCATCTCCCTACCTGAGTCAATTTAACTGTCAAGGATTTCATGGATTGATGAGGCCATGTTTTTGTTTGGCCACCACTTACTCTTTTCCAACCTGCACCTATATCAGCTAGTAATGCCCGTCCGTCGGGGGAGGCGATGGTTAGGCATGCGCAGCACGTGACCTAGCCATCTCAATCTATGTAACTTTATAGACTCTTCGATCGATTTTCCCTCTTTGCCCAACTCACTCACTTTTCAGTAATATCCTCGTTATATAGTAGGCTTTACTGTAATAAATATATGAAGACATTGAAATACATACAATAACACAATTCATCAAATCTAATCATGATAAGTTTGTTAATAATAATGATAATAATTAATCAATATCGAGGGTATATGAGATACTTCATTAAGACATTCATTAGTGGAATACTTAAAATGGTGCAAATATTTGTGAAATATTTTAACAATAAACAAATGGTGGTTACATAATGCGAAATATTGACCTAAATGTGATCGCATTACTAAAGTGAATTTCATATGAACAATTAAATTTGATGTGGTTAGAATTTAATTGGTGGATGGTGGCTAGCAGTGGAATCCAGGATAACGCACATTTCGTCCTACTTGGGACTCGTCATCTACTGGATGTACCTGCATTCCCCAGTGAGTGAGTGATGATGTTCCCACCGATGCTCGAACCCAGTGGTCTAGTGGATAACACTTTGGTGTTTGAAACTATGGGCACTGGGTTCGAGCCTCGGTGTGAACATCATTCACTGCGGAATGCAGGTACATCCAGCTGGAGGACGAGTCCCAAATAGGACGAAATGCGCATCTTGACTGGATTCCACTGCTAGTCACCATCCACCAATTAACTTCTGATTATATGCCCAGATATCGTCGAAGCATCTGCACAAGAAGCCGACATGTCAACCTGAGACCGAGCACTTCGGGCCAATCAATCGACGGGAAAATCTAAAATTCAATTAAATCTGATGTACACTGAATAGCAAGGCAGTTAAAAATATTTTCAAAACTCGTAAATAGCATATTACTGTTAGAGATTATTAATTATTATTATTATTATCCTTAGTGTACTCTTGAATTCTGAGTGGGATTTCGGGCTTCAACAGCAACCGCTTCCAGTTTGTCCTACTCTCTGCAGTAGTCCTTTCTAGCTAGTTCCACGACTGCCCACAGTTTCTGATCCCTTCCTCCATATTACTCTCGAAATGATGCCCCACTCAGGGGTCTGGCGTTTGAGAGTAGTGCTCACTAAAATCCGACATCTAGGAAAGCTTTGCGATAAAAATATGAATTTACCACCAAAGGAAGTTAGAAGTAGTGTAGCAAGAGAAGGCAAGACACGGAAGCCAAGGTACATATTTTCAAGCTATCAAACCATTATTTATATCTATACAGTTTTATATTCTTTAACCAATCACTGAGCGTATGATTTCGGTTTACATTAAACGGCATGAAATAGAATGTTCAAATAATTATATAGTATTCTGTTGCTAATGCAGTATTGAACTGTGGGAACATATGAGAATAATATTCCGTTGGCGCACGTTGTGTATATCATACCAACACAGTAACTCAACGAGTCGAATGATTCTCTTGTTCAAGTGTTGGTTTGTAGGGATTTGATTGGGTACAGGATTTCATCATGAGCTGACATAGGTTAGAGAACCATTGGAAAAACTGGCAGTACTGGACAGCTGTTTCGTCCTAGTTTGGCTAGTGGTCGCGCTATGTCGTGAATTGGCAGAAGTTAGAATTCATGGGCTGGCCATTGGATCGCGTCCCAGTGGCTTAATGGTCTACGAGCTAGCTCGCTAGCCTTGTAAACAGAAGTTCCTGGGTTCGAACCACGCGGTGTGGGTGCGTACTGATGAAGAGTCCCAAACTAGGATGAAACAGCCATTCAGTACTCCCAGATTTTCCAATGGTTCTCTAACCAATGTCAGTTGATGATGAGATTCTCTTGTTCTTAAAACTGTAGTTTATTTCATTGTGATATCAATTAGTGAAATAATAACACGATGTTGTAAATAGTCCATTCAATGCCTCAAAGTTGTGTTGTTTCTTAAAGTTTGAGAAATACTAGTACATACTAGTTAGTTTCATATGCTCTATGTGTACCTGTGTCAGTCTAACTAGCTTCATTGGAACTGGTTATATCAGGCATACCTTAATTGTACGCTTGTTCATCATCGGATTTTCAAACATCCTTCTGTATGTGTTTAAGTAGGGGAGAAACAAAGTATATTCTTGGCTCTACTTTAGCATACCTTGTAGATACTGATCACGGAGTTATTTACTGTATTCCGACTAATCTTAAATTCGCTTTACGAGTCCGTCTACTTCAAACATCAAGAGTCATGTCTATCTGTCTGTTTTCAACATAGAACTTTGCACCGATGTGAAGCAGTTCAGGTTGCCACACTTCACTCAGCATACAAAGCCAGAGAAGAAAAATAAAGTAAAAAGGAATGCAAAATAGAGAATATAAACAGAGACACGAGGCAAAACTATAGTAATATCGAAGAACAATATAGTTTTATTGGGTATTAAAAGTCACAAGGAGTGGATACGTCTGCGCCAGCCTTTGACAACGACGATTTTGAGCCACATCACCGATTGTCTCCAGCCTTCACTGCTGTTCACCGTCCCAAGGACCCCAACTGGTCAGAGTCTACACCTCCCTACGTGGCTGGCCGGCTTGAACTAACTGTTGTGGATTTCATTGACTGATGAAGCCATGTTTTGGTTTCACCACCCACCACTATCTCTTTTCCAGCCTGATCCTACGTCAGCTAACATTGCCTGTTGTTGGGGAAGGAGATGACTAGGCATTCGTAACACATGCCCTAACCATCTCAATCGATGTAGCTTCACAGCCTCGTCGACTGATTTCCCCTGCCACCTACCTAGCACTCGACCGACGCTTCACCCCAATATTGCTCACTGTATTATACCACTTGACAGGAGATAGAACGCAGGCGCCTATGATCAAAGACAGCTAGCCAGGCTTTTCATGTCTTCCAGTCTCATTGGTGAGGTCTCACAGCCATAAAGCAGGACAAAGTGGACTGCTGAGCAGTAAACACGCGTTTTGGTCGACATCCAGTTTGATATCACGTCTATTAAACCAGAGACGGCGTGAACTGGCGTATGCGAAACGAGCCTTTTGTATCCGTGGTGAGATTTCGTCGGCGATCTATCAACAAAAAGTCTCGGTGAACGACATTGGCTAGTGGTCGCGCTAGAATGACTAACTGGTAGGAGTTAGAATTCATGTGCTGGCCATCGAGTCGGTTCCCAGTATTTGAATGGTTTACGAGCTTGATTTATAATCGGAAGGTCCTTGGTTCGAACCCTTGGCATTGAATATGTACTGCTGATATGTCCCAAACTAGAATGAAACAGGTCTCTTTCGTTTTCATTAGTTCTCTAACTGATATGATAATACGAGGTGGCGAGTTGCCTGAATTACTGGGCTACCTGAATTTCCATCTGACACAAGGCATCTTATTTTCTTGAATTCTAGCTGTTATAATCATTCAGTCATGTCTGTGGGTCACCAAATATACTCTTGCACATTTTTAATTGGCTTTCAACCGCTGTGTGTGTGTGTGTTTCTGAAGGACCAAAGGAATAATACCATAAAGGATTCTTTTATTCTTCTGGTTGAACAGTTCAAAATCGTTCTAATGTGTTTTGTCCTCATACTTCTTCACTGAATGTTTCTGTCTTCCTTATATTTAACAACAATAATGAAAGCAGCTTTATTCTGACCAATCTTTATATAATGTAAAGAATTTTCAGCGAAGCTAATTGCATGTTATTTTCTCTTCGTCCAGGATATTCAAATAAAAGGTTTGACTTACAGTGTGGATCGTGTGATATAGTTCTGTCTGACCTGAAGCACAAACCGATCCATCATTGTGATATCTCTTCCTTTTTTCTCCTTCGACAAATTGTGGGTGGAGAAAACCTCGTGTTTCGCTTTTGACATGATAGTTCGTCCTGCATGACCAGAAGTTTGTGCAAAATGCCCTGGATGAAAAACTTCGACCGGAACAGGCTGGATTCAGGAGAAACAAGTCATGCATTGATCAGATCGCCACATTACGGATCATCATTGAACAAAGCCTGGAATGGCAGTCACCTCTCTATCTCAACTTCATCGACTTTGAAAAGGCCTTTGACAGCGTCGATCGAGAGGTGATTTGGAAACCACTTCGCTACTACGGGGTGCCACCGACGATTATACATCTCATCCAACAGCCGTACGACAATGCTGCATGCCAAGTAATCCACAACGGGAAACTTACGGAATCCTTCAAAGTGAGGACAGGAGTAAGACAAGGCTGCCGACTATCGCCAATGATTTTCCTGATTGCAGTAGACTGGATAATGCGACAGAGCGGGCAATGAGGAAACAGGCATAAAATGGACTCAAACAAAAAACTTGGAGGATTTGGACTTCGTCGATGATATATGTCTGATTTCCCACAAACTGGAAGATATGCAAGTGATGAAAAGCAACAAGTTGGCAGAAGAAGTATCAAAGATAGGACTTCAGGTGAACATAGAGAAAACAGAGGTGATGAGGATTCCTGGGCAACACCAACAACGGCAACAACAACAGACAGCAATCAGCATAAATGGGAGGAACCTGAAAGAAACAACCTCTTTTACCTACCTGGGAAGCATCGTTTCAACTACAGGCAGACGGAACTGACGAGGATATCAAAGCAAGAATCGGAAAAGCAAGACAAGCTTTCACTACTCTCAAGTCTGTGTGGAGGTCAACAACACTCAGCATGAAAAATAAGATCCGGATTTTCAACTCCAATGTGAAGTCAGTCAGTGCTACTATACGAATCAGAAACTTGCACTGCGCGTCATAAAGAGCATCTCAAACAAACTACAAACCTTCATTAACAGTTGTCTTCGCTCAATACTCAAGATCAGATGGCCGGCCAGAAAAGATCAGCAACTGAGATCTCTGAGAGCGAACCAACCAGGAACCAATTGTGAAACAAATAGGCAGGAAGAAATGGACATGGATTGGCCATACTCTGACGAAAACATCAAGTGACATCACTAGACAAGCCATTGCTCGAGTGGAACCCGGCGGAAAGGGAAGCGGCGAGTTGGTCGTCAGTGCAAGGGTGACTTGGAGGAGGTCATGTGAAGAGGAGATGAAAACGTGTGGGCAGACATGGAGCCAGGTGAAGACTCCAGCAGAGAACCGAACGCAATGGAGACGCACGGCTGAAGCCCTATGTTCCTTTAGGAATTAAAGGGTAGAATAATAATAATAATATAATAATTATCTTGCATAATGGATGCTTGGCATTCGCAAGAGATTTCATTCCTGCAACAATTTCTGTGCTATATTTTGTACGGCCTGGAAAATGCAGATGGCATGATTCTAATAAATCATAATGATTGCGCTGGACATCCGAAAGGTTAGGTTTGGACAGACAGATGTATTCAGGTTCTACAAAGTGACTTCGATGTACACGTTCTCTTCGATATTGAGTGGAGACCAGGTGAACTGGACAGTTGGACAGTCGTTAATGGGTACGATACGAGAATTTCGAGACCATTGACCGAAGGATAGGTGCTACCTCGGTGGCACAGCGGTTAGCACGCGCTATTATTCGAATTTATGCTGTCAGTACAAGCTGTTGAGCAGATTGTTTCCGTTCTCATCATTTCCTGATTCGATCGCTTAACAGGGGTGATGGATGTGGGTATGATGTATCTTATCTATCCGTTTTGGTTTAATTGTTATGTACGGTGATTGAGTCTCTAAACAACTACATTCGTGTCACTGTTCCGAAACAGATGGTAACCAAAAGTACTACTCGAGCACCTAATGTCGCAGTCTTATATATATATAAATATATATATATTAATGCGGTAAATGTGCGTCGGTGGCACAGTGGTTAGGACTCTCGCCGACTATGAACATGGTCCGGGGTTCGATCCCCTGCCGACGCACACCTGATATCTATGGTTGGCCTGCAAAATTTGGGCTACCGATATCGCATGCTGAAAATTCCATACTTGTATCAAAAATACGGTGTGGAATCAAGCTGTAATCAAAAACTTAAAAAAAATAAAGTATTACCTTGCGATGCAAGTCAAGACGAGATATATAAGAGTTCCTTTACTAAATATTGCTGAGGCCGTTGAGATCCACATTAAGAAGCCTAATGTATGCATCTAAAGGAAGTTAATTCAGACATTGTCCTTATGTTAGCCATCCAGGTTCAAATAATCCTCAATTTTTGTTGAAATTTCCTTAAGTTAAGTTAATATTCTATTTGCTATTATATTTTTATGCTTATTATTATAATTTAAGCATCTTTAATGAACTGTAATTCCATTGTGATCTTACTTAACAAATCGATATTATTTAAAGAAAACACTAATATTGATATTGACTACTATTCTAAAATATTCTATGTATATAAACATATACGTATATAATTGTAGAGCCAGAAGAGGAGGAAATTATCGAAAGGGGAATATTCTTTGCTCAATTATTTTGTGTTTTATAGATGCCAATTCTGAAAAGTTCAGGAGGACAATTTGTGAACTAAGCGCACCACTTAGGTGGCCCTATTTCATATATTGGGATAAGCTGCCATCGAGGAAAATGCTTTTTCACACATTTATTAGAAACTTGCAAACCAGCCGGTTGTGAATTTTTAAAATTTTCACCAGAGTAAACAACAAATACTATTAGAGATCATATCTTATTAGATTTAAACAAACTGAATATAAGAGAAATGATATGCAATATGCTGATGAAGGTTTTTCGGTAGACCAAATTTTAAGTAGGCCACCAATCTACTGTACTTCATTCGAGTTGCTTTCTTCTCGCTCCCATTCTCTCTTGTCTGCCTTTGCGTGATATATGGAGTATGTCAAATTGAACTGCTGCACTGTTTTGTGAAAAGTTCTGTGTTGAAATTCAGTTAATCAATAAAATCAACAGATTGTTTTCTTAATGTTTTCTCAATAACACGTTTGAAGTAGCCGAAATGAAAATCATTGATTTTTATGTTTGATTGGATGGAGGATTTCATCATGAGCTGACAGCAGTCAGAGAACCATTGGAAAACTAGTCAGGGAGTACTGGACAACTGTTTCATCAGCCTAGTTTGGGACTCTTCATCAGTAAGCACACACTGGTGTTCGAACGCAGGGCCTTCTGGTTAGAAGGCTAGCGAACTCGTAGACCATTAAGCCACTCACTAGGACCCGATCTAATGGCCAGTCCATGAATTCTAACTTCTGATAATTCATGACATAGCGCTACCACTTCTTAATATCTTCTGCTTCAATGAGTTATTGATTCACCTTCAACCTGCTGTATCCTATTGGTCACGACTTCTCACTAGAACCCCAGGGTACAGCAGGTTGAAGGTGAGTCAGTAATTCATTGAAGAAGAAGAGATTGCGAAGTGGTAGCGCTATATCATGAATTGGTAGAGGTTGGAATTCCTTGGGCTGACCATTGGATCGGATCCCAGTGAGTGGCTTAATGGTCTACAAGCTAGCTCGCTGACCTTGTAACCAGAAGGTCTTGGGTGCGTTCTGATGAGGAGGAGTTCAAAACTGGACTGAAGAAACAACTATCCAGTACTTTCTGACTGGTTTTCCAATGGTTCTCTAACCGATGCCAGCGCTCATGATGAAATCCTGTAACCAATCAGATCAAATCCTTACAAACCATCTTAATATGAAAAATAAGATCCGGATTTTAAACTCCAATGTGAAGTCAGTCAGTGCTACTATACGGATCAGAGATTTGGCGCGTCATGAAGGCCACCTTGAACAGACTACAGACTTTCATCAACAGCTGTCTTCACGCAATACTACTCAAGATCAAATGGCCAGAAAACATCAGCAACAGGGATCTCTGGGAGTGAACCAACCTTTCAAGAAGAAATGGGAATGGATTGGTGGCCATACTCTGAGAAAACAAACCATCAAGTAGCATCACACTCCAGTGCATTGCTCGAGTGGAACCCGACCGAATGGGAAGCGGCGAGTTCGTCGTCAGTGCTATGGTGACATGGAGGGGGAGGAGATGAAAGTATGTGAAGCCAGGTGAAAACGCTGCCGGGTAACTGAACGCAATCGAGACGTGCGGCTAAAGCCCTAAATTCCCCTAGGAATTAAAGGAAACAGTAATAATACCATCTTATTGTGCACAGACTGCTCTTCTTACTTTATTCAAATTTATAAAGCGGAATAAATATATGAAGGGACAATAATTTATCTTCCACTCACACTTTATCATTCCTATTTCCCGCCGTCTTTAATCCCTGAGTGTATCAATGCAACTTTGTACATAATGATTCTATGAGTGATCGTCGTTTCGCTAACTTCTGCTCACTTTAATTTTTCATTTAGGCTTCTAATGTTGTCAATACAACCCTGAAAAAAACTCGTCCACGTGTTTTATCACTTTATCGTCAAATATTCCGTCTAGCTCGAGTATGGAATGCTCAGTCCGGTGTGAAAGAAGATTCTATCCGTGAATCTGAATATATGAAAGAAGAAGCGAGAACACTGTTTCGACAGAACACCCACCTTACAGATGTAGAAGAGATTGAAGTAAGTTGTGTTTATATGCTTACTTTATAGTTGTTCCTTGTTCATTGCTCTGTGATCGGTTGACTAATTTGATTAGTGTGGTAAAGATTCGTATAGTTGAAAATCGATTATTATTATTATTGTTCCCTTGGGTTCCTAGTGGAACATAGGGCTTCAACTACACGTTTCCACTTGCTTCTATCTTCTGCTGTACTTTTCACTTGCATCCATGTTAGTCCATACTGTTTCAACTCCTCTTCACACGATCTCCTCCATGTCACCCTTGGACGTCCCACTCGTCGCTTCCCTTTCGGGTTCCACTCGAGCAATGGCCTGACGCGTGATGTCACCCAACGGCCTCCTCAGCGAGTGTCCAATCCATCTCCACTTCTTTCTCCTGCATATTTGTTGGGCGATGAGTTCTTGTTTTGTTTGTTCCCATAGCTTCTTGTTTGTGATTCTTTCCGGCCATCTGATCTTCAGTAGTATAGAGCGAAGACAGTTGTTGTTGTTGATAAAGGTGTGCAACAGGCTGTTGGAAATATTCTTTGTGACCCGCCGCCAAGTTTCTGATCCGTATAGAAGAACTGACTGACTTGACGTTTGTATTGAAAATCCGAATTTTGTTGTTGATGTTGAGGAGTGACGAAGATTTCCAGATTGGTTTCAGGTTGATGAATGTGTTTCTCGCGTCTAATGCCATTTGGATAAATAACTTTCAATGTCATCTTTGAATCTACATAAATCTGTTGTTATGACAATTTAGATATAACACCAAAAAGATTATAAACCAGTCAATTAGAATAGGTCATATGATGTGTGGTCAATATACATACGCACACCCCCCCCCCACACACACACATACTTAAAGGGTCATTCGGATTGTTTTTATAAGTCATGTCAATTGATAAAAGTAGCAGATATCCTGGGGTGTTTATTCATCACTTTTGATTATTTACTTAGTTGTATGTATGCATGTGTGTAAATATCTGTGCCATCAACTGTGATGAAGTATAGAAATACAATTACGTATGTGTGTCATGAAATCCTGTGTTAACATTTAGGTGATGGCAGATGCGGGTTAGAATTATTTGACAATTGCGTTTTACCGAAAGTCTTGATATTATTTCCAGTTTACTAGATCCAGGCACAACCGTACCACACAGATGGCCACTGGACACCAGTGAAATAATTAAGAGCTTAAAATTCTGTCTAGAAAATAATTATTTTACATTTAAAGGGAGTTTATATAGACAGACAAATGGTGTTGGTATGGGTTCACCAGTTTCCCCAATAGTCACTGATCTTTTCATGAATAGATTCGAAAATAACATCTTTTCAAGCATACTCACTCCCCAAATATGGTTAAGATATGTAGATGATAAATTTGTAGTAATAAAACGAGAAAATAAACCGTGTATCTCCCAGAGTCCAGTTCACTTCGGAAGCAGAATCAGAAGTCGGTGAACTAGCATTACTAGACTGCCTAGTAAAGAGAAAGGAAAACGGACATTTTAGTATATCTATAATCAGAAAGAAAACCCACTCAAATAAATATTTAGACTTCAAGTCATCACACTCCATCAGCACAAAGGCATCAGATTTTCCAAGTCTCCTTAGACGAGCACACTCATTGATGTTAACGGATGAGAAGAAAAAGAAAAAGAAATATCAAGCATTACTGAGACTCTCAACCAAAACAAAACTACGCAAAGAACTTCATTAACAAACTCAACACTGACATTAAGTATGGTTGAAAACGTATTCCGAAAACATGGACCTCAATAGTCGTCATTCCATATAGACCATCAGATTCGTCAGACGATATCAGAAGAGTACTCAATTAGCTCCACATCAAAGTTTTCTTCAAAAATATCAGGTACACTGCTAAACAACCTTCTCCATATAAAAGACCAAACCCTAAAGATTCTCTATGTAATTGTGTCTATGAAAGAAAATGCTTGGAATGTGATATGATATACATCGGACAAACATCGCCAGTGAGAAATCAAAATCAGACGAAATGAACACCGTAGAGCATCTCTTCAACCATCAGGAAATTCAGTTGAACTAGAAAAGCTTGAAAAATCATCAGCCATAGGTCTACATGTTATAGAATCAGGCTACAAAATTGATTTTGACAGTATTGAAGTCACTATCCAGAAAAAGAATCTCAGAAATCACAAAGAACGTCTAATATCATCAGAATCACTTCATATCATCAAATGGAAGCCAAATTGTCTGGATAGGAATGATGATGGACTAAAACAGAAATTGACCTGGTTACAACACACACACCCCTCCTCCATGAAATGACAAAATCAACACGAATATGGTTATCACTTACGTTATGTAAACACTCGCTGCTTTAATAATTTTCATGTGCTTATCAAATCCAGCAATCTACACATGATGGTTGACAACGCACAAATGACCTCATGCTGAGGAACGACGATTAAGTTGTTATATATAAGCTGAGTGGATTTTGTAAATTTTTCTAGTTTAATATTACTACTTCGGTAAAGTTATTAGGAGCAGTATTAAATAGCGAAGCGTCAGTAAACACAACAATATCGTTTTGTTTTTCATTCATTCATTCATTGGGAAATACAAAAAACCTTTATTATAATGAATTGTGTTCAATGTTAGGATCTTAAATCTGTGTTGTTGTCATAGACAGATGATTAGCATTGATAAAATACCTCTGAGATAGCTAGTAAAAATCATTTTTTAAAAATAAATAGACCAGGGTTTAATCAAGCAGTAGGCAACCGCTTGAATTCGAATCCAGGACCTCCTGGTTACAAGTTAAGCTCGTAGACCACTCATCCACTGGGACCCGACTCAATGGCTCATGAATTCTCACTAGTGATTGGCTGCAGAACAAAGTTGACTGGAGTTCTAATGAGAAGTGGTGACCAGTGGGTTCCACCCAGCGGGAAGTAAGGACAAATACTCGCCATGGAGGATATTTGTCGTTGCCAGTTGTGCTAAAATCAGGAATTCTTAGGAGTTAGAATTCATGTGCTGGTCATTGAAGACTGGAGTCCCAGTGGCTGAATGGTCTACGAGCTTGACTTGCAACTAGAAGGTGCTGGGTTCGAGCCCTGGTGGTGAATGAATACTGCCGATGTGTCAGGAACTAGTACTCCCTACTGGTTTTCAATGGTTCTCCAGCTGATATCGATCCATGATCAAATGTGAAACAAATCAAATCCCTACAGACTGACGCTTAAAAATTCACGTTTTATAGTCATAAAGAACATCTCAAACAAACTACAGACCTTCATTAACAGCTAGCTGTCTTCGCTCAATACTCAAGATCAGATGGCCAGAAAAGATTAGCAACAGGGCTCTCTGGAAGTGAACCAATCAACCAGGTACTAATTGTGCAATAAATAAGCAACCTCCAAAGCCTCAGGATGGTCGGGGGTGGATGCCTTGCGCTGCGGGTTGGCCACCCCTCCGCACACCTCTTGAAATGCTCCCATATGACCGGGCGTCTTACATAGCCTCTCCTGAGGAAGTCCTACTCACTGCCTTCACGTGGCGGAGGTGTTTTTCACCAAAGTGAGAGGGCGAAAACGGATGCCCGGCGCTCTTCACCGGGTTGACCGTCCATTGGATGACAGTCTAGGGGAGATGGCTAAACTCTGATTCCAAACCTGCAACGACTGGCGTATGAAGCTCACTGGAGCTCACCGGCAGACGTATGGGCTAAGGGCTTGTTGGATGTCCTGGATGTCTGGCCCCATTCAAAAAGGCATATGAACCGAACTCCGGTCACCGGCTGCCAATGGATAGTGGACTCCCTACTCCACTCCTACTGCCTTGTAGGTCACACTTGTTTGTGTAAAGGCTAGAGCTGCACTCTCAAACAAAAGGCCGAGCGATTCTGGGGACATCACTCGTACCAAATTCCCATGAAACTTCATGAACTCTCTTACAAAATACATCAGATCGCCGCGCCTGGGCAGCTATGATTCGAGATGTTCATGAAGCCGGCTCATCCTCCCGTAGGAGATAGCCGAAGTAAAGAAAGTAGTAATAAATAAGCAGGAAGAAGTGGAGATGGATTGGCCATACTCTGAGGAAACAAACCATCAAGTAACATCACTAGACAAGCCATTGCTCGAGTGGAACCCGAAAGGGAAGCGGCGAGTTGGTCGTCAGTGCAAGGGTGACTTGGAGGAGGTCATGTGAAGAGGAGATGAAAACGTGTGGGCAGACATGGAGCCAGGTGAAGACTGTAGCAGAGAACCGAACGCAATGGAGACTTGTGGCTGAAGCCCTATGTTCCTGTAGGAATTAAAGGGAACAACAACAATAATAATAATAGTTTAAAAACATTTGGGCATTGGATATTTTGGTATTCATTATTATAGAAGTTTTTGTATTTCCCAATGAATGAATGAAAAAGAACAAAACGATACGGTTGTGTTTTTACTGACGTTTCTCTACTTTAAACGCTGCTGCTAATAGCTTTATCAAAGTAATAGTAATATTCAACCAGAAGAATTTACCAAATCCACTCAGCTTATATGTACAGTAACTTGGTAATCATTCTTCAAGATGAGATAATTCTGTTTATGTTGGTTGTCAAATTGGTCAATTTCTAAAGATAACAAAACCATGTGCGCAGATTTTCTTTTAGATTTGATATGTGTATAAAGTGATAAAAGCAGTGTGTGTTTACATAATGAACTTGCTCATTATAATAAAGGTTTTTTTGTACTTCCCAATGAATGAATGAAAAACAAAACCATATTATTGTGTTTACTGACGTTTCGTTACTCAATGCTGCTGCTAAAAGCTTTATCAAAGTAGTATTATTAAACTAGAAAAATTTACAAAATCCACTCAGCTTGTATATATAACAACTTAATCATCGTTCCTCAGCATGAGGTCATTTGTGCGTTGTCAAATCGGCCAATTGGTGTAAAGATAACAAAACAAGGTGTAGATTGTTGGATTTGATCGGTGTGTAAAATTATAAAAGCAGCGTGTGTTTACATAATGAA